TATGTCCCCCCATCAGGATTAACAGGTCCAACACTTTTAATTGAGAGTTTGGCTTGGGCATGGCTTGTGATATCTGAAGAAAGAATTTTGAAATAGTTTGTCTCAGTAGCCATTTAAATGTTTAGGATGTATTCTGTATAATGCAATAAATAAAAAAAGTAGAGCATTAAAAGGCTATCTTGTGTTGTCATCAAAGTCTGACCATTGTAAGGTCAATGAATCATTTGGCTCCTTTCCTTTTAGCCTTTTCTTTTAACAGAAATAACATATGGGATAACCTTCTGCATACACTTATATGCAATATGTTAATTTACTGCAGGGTTAAGTTAAAAAGAGACTAAAATGTAGTTAGTATTAATATTTTCACAACTGTGTGCTTTAGGCTGGGTAGTTATTATTGTCTCATTCAAGAGGCACATCAACATATAAACATATCTAAAAATCCTGTGAAATGTTTTTGAATACCATTATAAATGCAATAATGGATTGTTGAGTGGCTGTACGTATGACCAACCAAAGTACTTCCTTTTCAATAATTTGTTTGACTTTCAAGTTTTCCTGATTAAAACTTTCTCACATGGTTAACTGTACTTCCTCAGTTCCTGCTGACAGGAACTGAATGCAGATTTGCTATGTTGGCCTGTTGGTTAAACGTTGCAGATACTTTCTGTATTAAAGCATTCACCTGCATCTAAATGCCTAATTTTAGAGAATTTAAAGACTCCCATTTATGCAGCTGTAAGAACAGCGGCTGGGGCATAACTGATATCAGTCTCTCAAAGAAATATAAACCACCACCGCAAAGCAAACCTGCTCTACCAGTTTAGGCTTTGCTTTCCGTCTGCTGCTTTTTGGTTTTTATGTTTTAGTGACACATCACCTATTCTCAGATAAGGTGGTACCCATCTGTCACAGCTTAATATTAACCACACACAGTAGGAATTTCTTACTGTCGCTTGTTTTTTAAACCACCTTTAAAGAGTGTATACACTGCCGTAGTTAGAAAATTAAACCAGGAAATTGTTTTAGTTTAAACAAACATATCTCTTTCCTTTACCTTTCCCAAACACATTTCAAGTCAGTGATTGTTCAAAATAGCCATGCTCTTAGGTGAAAGCTCTTGTTTGTTTTCTGAGCTTTTATTATATCAATCAAACCAATGGTTCAGAATTGAATGCTTATTTAATGCCATTTTGTCTCGAGCCTGGCGTTGGAGTCTCAACGGCTCTTGTGCTGGGAGACTTCAATATCCATGCCGAGGCGACCCTCACAGGAGCGGCTCAGGACTTCATGTCTGCCATGGCAACCATGGGGCTGTCCCAACAAATATCTGGCCCCACCCACTGTGCTGGACACACATTGGACTTGGTTTTCTGTCAGGGATGGGAGCAGGGTGGCGGTGTGGAGGAGTTGTCTATCTCTCCGTTGCCATGGACTGACCACTTCCTGATCAGATTTAGGCTCACTGCACCCCCTAACCTCTGCAAAGGTGGAGGACCCATTAAGATGGTCCGCCCCAGGAGGCTTATGGATCCGAACGGATTCCTGACGGCTCTTGGGGATTTTCCCGCCTCCTCGGTAGGTGACCATGTCGAGGCCTTGGTCGCTCTCTGGAATGGGGAGATGACCAGGGCAATTGACACGATCGCTCCGGAACGTCCCCTCTCAAGTAGCCGAGCTAAACCAGCCCCTTGGTTTACTGAGGAGCTGGCAGTGATGAAGCGAAGGAAGAGGGAACTGGAGAGCGTGTGGCGTTCAGACCCAAGCGAGTCAAATCGAACACGGTTTGTGTCCTTTTTAAGGGCATATGCCGCGGCAATAAAAGCCGCAAAGAAAACTTTCTTTGCAGCCACTATTGCGTCTGCAAAAAACCGTCCGGCGGAGTTGTTTCGGATTGTCAGAGGTCTTTAACTCCCGCCACTTCAGGCGGGAGCCCTGACAATTCGGTCACGCGCTGTGAAGCATTGGCTCGGTTCTTTGCAGACAAAGTCGCTTTGATCCGTTCTGAGCTGGACACCATGTTAAATGCAGTCTCTGAGGATGTGACACGAGCACCTGCTTGTCCTATTTTGATGGATTCTTTTCAGTTTGTGAAACCCGAGGATGTGGACAAGATACTTGGAGGAATGAGGCACCACGTCCATCCTAGACCCCTGTCCATCCTGGCTTCTGAAAGAGGCCAGAGGGGGATTGGCTGAGTGGGTAACGGTGGTGGTTAATGCCTCCCTTCGGGAAGGCAGGATTCCAGCGTGCTTAAAACAAGCAATTATAAAACCGCTGTTGAAGAAACCATCATTGGACCCCACTAAATTCGACAACTTTCGGCCTGTTTCCAATCTCCCCTTTTTGGGCAAAGTCATGGAAAGCGTGGTGGCCTCACAACTCCAGGTATTGTTGAGAGACACGGATATTCTGGATCCGGCACAGTCTGGTTTCAGACCGGGACATGGTACCGAGACGGTCTTGGTCGCCTTAGTGGATGATCTGCGCCGGGAGCTAGACAGGGGGAGTGTGTCCCTGTTGGTGCTCCTGGACCTCTCAGCGGCCTTCGATACCGTCGACCACGGTATCCTTCTGGGGCGCCTTGCAGAAATGGGTCTTGGGGGCACTGCTTTGCAGTGGCTCCAGTCATTTCTGGAGGGTCGTACCCAGAAGGTGTTATTGGGGGACTGCTGTTCAACACCACAGCCTTTGACCTGTGGGGTTCCACAGGGTTCTATACTGTCCCCCATGCTGTTTAATATCTACATGAAGCCGCTGGGTGAGATCATCCGGAGTTTCGGGGTGCGGTGTCATCTGTACGCAGATGATGTCCAACTCTGTCACTCCTTTCACCTGCTACTAAGGAGGCTGTCGAGGTCCTGAACCGGTGCCTGGCCGCTGTAATGGTCTGGATGAGGGCGAACAAACTGAAATTAAATCCAGACAAGACAGAGGTACTCCTGGTCAGTCGAAGGCCGAACAGGGTATAGGGTTACAGCCTGTGCTGGATGGGGTCGCACTCCCCTTGAAGGCGCAGGTCGCAGCTTGGGTGTGATCCTGGATTCATCGTTGAGCCTGGATCCCCAGGTTTCAGCGGTGACCAGGGGAGCATTTGCACACCTTCGGCTCGTGCGCCAGCTGCGCCCGTACCTCGGGAAGTCTGACTTGGCCACGGTGGTACACGCTCTGGTCACATCCCGCCTTGACTACTGCAACGCTCTCTACGTGGGGCTGCCCTTGAAGACGGCCCGGAAGCTTCAGCTAGTCCAGCGCGAGGCAGCCATGTTACTAACGGGAGCGGGACGCAGGGAGCACACAACGCCCTTGTTGTCCCAGCTCCACTGGCTGCCGATTTGCTACCGGGCCCAATTCAAGGTGCTGGTGTTATCCTACAAAGCCCTAAACGGTTCCGGCCCAAAATACCTTTCGGACCGCATCTCGGCCTATGAGCCCACGAGGGCCTTGAGATCATCTGGGGAGGCCCTTCTCTCGATCCCGCCCGCCTCACAGGCACGTCTGGCGGGGACGAGAGAGAGGGCCTTCTCAGTGGTGGCCCCCCGGCTATGGAACGCCCTCCCTGTTAACATCAGACAGGCGCCCTCCCTGATGGCTTTTCGTAAGAGCCTAAAGACCTGGCTATTCGAGAAGGCATTTAATTGAGAGCCATATGACTCTGGTAATGACATTCGGAACGGACTATGGATTATGAGATTGGCTATGATTCCATGTTGTGATGGCGCGGATTTTTAGTGTAATTTAGATTAATGTGTAATTTGGTTGCTGATTTATTGTATGTTTTGTAGACTGTTTTTTTTACATGTTGTACACCGCCGCGAGTCGCCCCAGGGCTGAGAGCGACGGTCAACAAATGAAGTAAATAAAATAAATAAATAAATAAATAAATAAAATAAATTTTGCATCATTGAACATTATCCAGTGTAACCTCAATGACTGAAATGTTATATATCTGTCTTGTGAGAGGATACTCTCTTCAAGACACAAAATAGTCAATCTTCATGTTGTTGCAAAATGATCAGGTATGCTCTGAATGGGTTTTGTGGTTGTGTGGATTGCAGCCTGTTGATTGGATATGTAAATGTGCATCCCTATAAAGAATAATAATAATAATAATAATAATATAATATAATATAATATACATAAGATTAGTACACAGTAAAAAAGGTCACTATGCTGGCTTTTATATTTGAACACACGTCGGACACTTCCCAAGTATGTAGGACTGTGTGATGTATCGGAGAATGATGTGTGCAGATCCGATTAGGGTGGCCTTTTACAGCTGACATGGTAATTTTGTCGGTGCCTGTTGTTTTTAAGTGCAGGGCAAGGTCTTAAGGCACTGCACTCAGTGTGCTGATCACCACTAGGACCACCTTTACTGGCTTGTGCCAGAGTTCTTGCAGTTCTATCTTTAAATCCTCATATAGTGTAAGCTTTTCCAGTTGCTTCTTGACGATTCTGCTATTATTATTATTATTATTATTATTATTATTATTATTATTACTATTATTATGTTTGTACACTGCTTTTTCTGTCCACAAGGAGACTCAGTGTGGCATGTTGTTTATTTGTTTACTTGCTCCCTGTCGGCTTTCGCCACCCCCAGCTCCTTCAAGGTCAAGGCCACCCCCAGTTCCTTCAATGCTGCATATTGTACATATAAACCTGTTCACATGTTGAGGTTTCTGACTATTAAAACAAATGTATGTTTAAAGAGCTAAAACACATTTAAAGTTGATAGAACTACTATTTTCAGAGGATAGGACCTCTTCATCAATATTTTGTTGTTTTTATAGTATAGCATTTGATATGCTAAGCCATGGGCTTTAGTAGACTTCTTTACAGATGCCTGCTTGACACCTTTATATATTTAAGTGTTAAACCCACTGTTCAAGACTCATATGAGTTATAACTGTTCGTTTAACTTACCCTCTGACCGATCAGCCTTCTGTGGCACTACTGTTCCCAAAGTAATAGTTGTGATGTTTCTGTCTCATCAGCCTGTAGAGGCAACAGATGATGCCTTTTGGGACCAGTTCTGGGCAGATACAGCTACTTCAGTCCAAGATGTCTTTGCTCTAGTTCCTGCTGCAGAAATCAGAGCTGTGAGGGAGGAATCTCCTTCAAATTTGGCTACTTTGTGTTATAAGGTAAGATGTGTTCTTCCCACAGTACTTTTTTCCTGCTGAGATTCAATTACTGAAATGACTGCATAACTGTCCCTGTTTACAAACATGACCAGTTTATTCAGCCATGTCTTTTGAATTCGATGGTTTATTTCCTAAAATTGGTAACAACAGTTAATACATATTTTGATCACAGTTGAGGGGATGTTTTATGCAATCTTCACCACGTTATTTTCCACCAAAAGATTGCCTCCAAGATTCTTGAGCATACGTTTGCAGTTATTTGTAGATGGAGAACAAGGCAGTGATTATGCTCTGTGAGAAAGTATTGTCCAGTAATCCCATTTGATCTTCAGCTTGCTTGAACTGTTGTTAATTTAAAGATAAGAATCCTTGCTATGGAAGTCTGAGACTTGATAATTTCATGTTTTGTTTGATAATCTAAGATATCTTTTCCTGACGAAAAGGACTGGCAATACATATCCTCAACATGCTTCCTTAAACTACAGTATTCAATGTCTTTATTAATTCTTGATCGTATGTATCTGCTGCAGAAACATCTATAAGTACTCTAAGTGGAATCAAAATCTTTGGATTTGTTTTTCTTTCCTTGCAGAATACTATTCAAGTCTGATTGACATTGCTAATCCTTTTGAATTTAGCTGTGTCTTCGATGTTTGCTTACCCTGAAGGGTTTTGGTGGTTTGCCTCCATTTCCTCTTCTAGTTTACTATCAACCACAAGTGACAATGAATTAACTGAACTACCTTTCCCTGCCTTGGTACTCTTTGAAACCCTTGGAATTTTGTGCCCCTTATAAATACATTGCATTCCACGGGAGCAATGTTTTTATTATTTTCAGACAAGAGTAAGAGAAATCAGTTCTCAAATAGCTCAAAACATTCTAAGTGAAATTGAGGACTTTCTGTTTCATATTCTGCAATAATGATGCTATAAGAAAATGTAGGCACAGGTTGTTATCGCATTAAAAAAAGGATACTTCTCACTAGCGTTTAGTCCCACTCCCTAGTCCAGAGTTTCTCAAACTGTGCTCCTCCAGGTGTTTTGGACTTCAGCTCCCACAATTCCTAATGGGTGGTAAGCTGGCTGGGATTTCTGGGAAATGAGACCAAAACACCAGAAGAAGTACAGTTTGAGAAACACTGCCCTAGTCAATGGCCTGGAAGAATGTTTATGTCTTGTTGCTCAGAGGGTAAAAATTAGTCTGGGATTTTTTTTTAGTTCTTAGTACAAAATTGTCATGTGTTCTTCAAGGCAATGTATATTGTACTGGTAGAGATGGGAATCTAGATCTTAACAGGCAGTCCCCAAGTAACAAACGTCCGACTTAACAAACAACTCCTAGTTAAGAATGGAGCTGAGACAACAGGAAATGAGAGAAATCTTCCCCTTGGAAGGTAAATTCACTCCTGAAAAAGGTGTCATGGGGAAAATGTGTATCTCCAATCCTGGTTTTCACAACAAGCCAATTTTTTCACAATTCAGTTAGGGACAGAAAGTCAGGTGAAATCTTCTGAACAGACAACAAAACAAACACCACAGGAGTAATAATATATAATTGTATTTCTCAGCCGCCTCTCCTTGTGGCTCGAGGCAGATTATAACATCGCTAAAAATACATAATCATCCAAAACAGTCTATAAAATACACATATTAAAACATATTTCTACAAAATATATATTAAAATACATGGAATAAAGATTAAACACAAGACATAAGTTTAAAATTTGTGATTAAAACTGGCTGGGTAAGCCTGCTGGAAGAGATATGTCTTCAACTGTGATTTAAATTCAGACAGCTCATGTAGCTGTCAGATCTCTTCCAGCAGATCATTCCAGAGTCCTGGAGCAGCTGATGAAAAGATCCTCTGGGTGATCCAATCGGGTTCTGACAGGTTGGAGTAGCCACCCTCCCTGGATGACCTGTTCCTCCAAGAAAGGAGCTGTTACATGGCACACCACAAGGTGCCATTCTACCACCTGGGGCAGCTGATGAAAAGGTCCTCTGGGTGATCCAGTATAGGTACTTTAGTATAGGTGTAATATTTTCACTCCTCGATGTTCCTGTAACCAATCTAGCTGCCATATTTTGAATGAATTGGAGTTTCCGAACTTGGTACAGAGGTAGCCCAATGTAAAGTGCCTTGCAGAAGTCCAACCATGAGGTTACCAGCACATGCAATACCATCTTAAGGTCCTCTAAGTCTAGGAAGGGGCGCAGCTGGCCTATCAGCCGAAGCTTATAGGAAGTACTCCTAACGGTTGCATCTACTGGGCTGACATTTGGAGAGGAGAACTCCCAAGCTGGAGACACAGTTTTTCTGGGGGGGTGTACAGTATAGAATGGGGCACCAGTGCCCAAGAAAGGGAATCGCAGTTCCCAAGTAGGTCAGGTATAAAAGCAGATTATCAGACTACACAGAGAAGCCATTGAAATCCACAAGCATGTGGACAATTTCAACAGAAAGGAGGAAACCATGAAAACGAACAAAATCTGGCTACCAATATTACAAAAAACTCTAAAATCGGGACAGTAAATAAAGAGCAACACCCAAAAAGCAGGGGAATTCCAGACAAGACTCGATCAGGGCCAGCGAACACCTTCCGACAAAGGATTCCCCCAGGCAGGAAGCACCAGTCTTTGAAGCTGCAAGGCCATCCAATGCTAATCAAGGGGGGAGGGGGCGGTAATTGCAACATTCAAGCTGACAAGAGTTCTTTCTTCCATCCTGGACATTCCACAGATATATAAAACTCACTTGCCTAGTTTCCAACAGACCCCTCAACCTCTGAGGATGCCTGCCATAGATGTGGGCGAAATGTCAGGAGAGAATGCTTTTGGAACATGGCCATACAGCCCAGAAAACTCACAACAACCCAGCTATAGTTGCTCTTGCTAGGAATCTAATCCTGGTTTTGCCTCTGTCTACCTTGCTGTTTAAACTGGTTTATGGGGTAAAAGGCCTCTTTTGCATGGTTTGTAAATCAAAACAGTGTTCTTATGTCAAAACGTCACCCTAGGCCAAGTGAGGATTTGTAAGTTAAAACATACTTATGCTGGGACATTCTTATATAGAGGTTCCACTATATATGATTTTCATCACATAATACTAGATTTATCTCAAAAGGGGAAGTCTCTCATATTGACCAATAAGAATATTATTTGCTTTTATCTGGAATAATTAAAAACAGTTTGTGTTCTCTTCATGCTAAAGCATAGTTTTAATGTAGGCGCCTCCAGCCTGTTTCTTGTGATGAGCCTGTATAGTCAGATAAAGCTCAACACTGCTTTTTAACTTGCTGATATACCTAGAGACCTAAATATATGTCCCACCAAACTCACCAATTTATTTTCCAGTACATACTCTTGGTCATGACTCCTTCTTAAGTTATAACTGTTCATCTTGTTAAGAAGGTCAGTTCATCTGCTAAGTAATGTTTTGATTTCCTTTTGTAAAGCAACTGCTTCTGTTCCTAGGATTTTACAAGATTATTTTAAAAGTCTGTTTCTGGTCTTTGAACGGGAAAAGGCAAAATAGTGCTAGAGCCTTATTGAAGAAAAGGGACCTTTACCATTTCTCTCTTGAGACTTTGCATTAGTTTTTCAAGAGTATGGAACAAAGAATAATTTTGAAGACGTTTTTGCATCAACTTTTCTTCTTCTGATACCTTTAGGGTGGTTCTGAGAAGTATTAATATATTCAACTATGTTGTAGCCCATCTCAAGCTGTGATGTGAGATCAGTAAGAAATAAAAAGATGATTATGATGATGGTGGTGGTGGTGGTGGTGGTGATGATGGAAATTGCAATCCAACAACATCTGGAGAACTGCAGTTTTCATTCCTGGGCACAAAATTGGAAATGGATCTCCCTCCCACACCTAAAAACACGTACTCTTTCACATATACATTTCCCAAGCTCTTATGCTTTGAAAAAATGTTCCCTTTAGAGGGATATTCATGTTACATCAAAGAAGGATATTCATGTTACTTCAGCAATAAGAAATAATTTTACTAAAAAAAAATACTATGGCGTGATAACATTGGAATAATGTAGTTTAAAAGTTTTGTTATTTGTGGCAGTTAATTGTGCCTGCATAATAGCAACTTTTATTTCTTTTATCTGGTTTGTTACAGGCCGTGGAAAAACTGGTACAGGGAGCTGAGAGTGGCTGTCATTCTGAGAAGGAAAAGCAAATTGTTCTGAATTGCAGCCGCCTCCTGACCCGCATCCTACCGTATATTTTCGAAGATCCTGACTGGAGAGGTTTCTTCTGGTCGACTGTTCCTGGGGCCGGACGAGGAGGGGTGTGTACCTATTGGATTACAGTAATTCTTTTTTCACAGATGTTGAGGAGCTACAGGGGGCAGTGGCTCTCATTAATCAAAGAGTAATTCTGCTGATTACTCTGAGTCTATTTAACTGTAAGAACCTGAATCTATTTAAGAGCAAGATGGGAGTCCCATATCCTTGACTGTGCATAGCTGCATTCTGTAATTAGGTTTGTTTGGATCCACGTGGGGTTCTCCCATTTAGAAAGGGACTGTTTCAACTGTAACAGAAAATTGATGTGTAAATGTAACAGGTAAGTAGTAAGAAGAATAATTTTCTTTGTTCAGACTTACATCATTTTGTTTTTGATACAGAAAGCAATGAACAGTAGCAAAAGAAGGTTGTGAAGTCCCACCAATTGTTGAATATAATCTTAAAATGAAGATTGTAGGGAACTAGGAGCAATATCATGTGATTCCTTACCACTCTTTATAATAGCCTCCCCTCTACATTGAAACCTCTCCCATCCCATACTCATGTATTCATACGAATCCAAAGGCTTTGTGTCCCTAATAGTTGCATTTTCTCATTGCATTTTTAAGCGTTGATGTATTGTCAGTTTTAATACATTCATTGACTGTAGTTGCACCAGTCTTTGCAAGTGTGAACGGATTATCTTCTTGTTTTGTCTAATGCAGAGATATGTTTTTGTCATAGACAAAAGTTTTATCATCATCATCATCATCATCATCATCATCATCATCACGTTAGCTGTCTTTTCAGCACCATTGAATTTAATTCTCATTAGTTACATTGTATTAAATAGTGGGGGAAATTATTTTAATTATTTTATTTTTAATTATTTAAATACAATTTGGAATTATTTTAAATGCATTTAGCATTTTTCTTTCAAGAGTTTTCTTCTGTACTAGCTTTATTGAAATGACCTGGGGTTGTAAGAGCACAACTGTGCTTTCTTTTCCATCTGTTTATGTTGGTGTTTTTTGATCAAGGATTGCTGGAGTATTTTATATAGAGTGTTACTATCAATGTTGGATATGCTGTTGTACAGTAGAATGTGGCTGCACTTCAAATGGGGCTGCCAAAGCGATTGATTGATGCCTACTACTAACCAATTAATCCTTTCAGCCCTTAAGATTCTATTTTTATTTTTCTCTTTAAAAGATGAATGAAAGTGTTTGCAGCCAACCTGTTTTCATTTCTTGTGCCTGTTTCTGCCTTTGGAGTGCTTTTATTGGTTGTTGCCATGTGGCACTAGACAACGTCAGATCAATGCTGGTCATTATTGTAGTCCAGTCTGCTTGCCAGGAGGGAAGGGCTCTGTGTCATACACAAGCAGATACGGGGCTGGCTGTCACAGATAAGCTTCTGTCGCCCTTCTTGCGGGGGACGGGGGGGCGGGGGCGGATCTGCAATCCAAGATGAGCTTTCAGTGGCAGTGCTATAGGCCTACAGAGAAGACATGTGGTTCCCTTGGAAACAGTGGCTCACTTGTGACTGAGGCATCAGAAACAAAATAAAAAGAATAAGGCTTGATTTGAATGCCTGGAAGCTTTGTGGGAGGAGGCTTGTTCTGCCCCAGCAAGCAGAGAGCATCGCCCCCCTGAGTAACCTATGCTTCTTTGTCATGGTCTCTGTGCATCACACTTGAAGTTCTATTCTTTGTTTAAGCTTATTGAATAGGTATTGTAATACTGTATAATTGAATTTAAGTCGTCTTGTAATAAGATTATTTGACCTGGAAGACTTGACCCTTTTTTACAGTAATTTATTTTTGTTGCCAGCCTGCATGAATGGCCTTGGAATGGTGCTTTTATTAACAAGATGCATTGTGTTTCATGATGTAAACTCTTTCTTTTTTAATTGGGAAAATTGTATAAATTCTTAAATAATAGCTATTATTTTCATAATTATGATGTAGCTCGCATGTTTTTGGATTGCATGATAGGTAGCAGTCATGTATTCTACCTCCAAAGTGACCAGTCACATTCCCCTAGGAAGTTTATAAATGGGCCACGTAAAGGAGAGGCATTCACGGTTTGTGCTCAACATACAAAACTAGTGGTTTACAAACATAGAGGTTTTCTTAGAGGTTTTCTTTTCAGTTATTAGGACTGTTAGGCATAATCGTATTCTATCATTTGTATTAACTGTTCCCCTTTATGAACCCTTTAAACATCATTAGGTGATACGTTTTCTGCATCCAGACTTCATTTTCAGTATGAATGTTTTACACCAATGTATCCTCCTTTCCAGGATTATTTTGAAATAATTTGGGATCTCATAGATTTTGAACAAATGTGTTCTTTTACATTTTCTATAAATCCAAAACAGTTTCTGAAAAGAGTATTTGTACAGGTAAATTCAGGAAGGGGCATAAATATGTTGTGAAATTTTAAAATCCTGGCAGAGATATTAAAAAGAAAAAAAAGAGTTGCATTGCTATTTACTTGTCAAAGAGAAGTGCTTTAGCAGTACAGTTCTCAATAGCTTGGGAAGCGTGAAAAATGGTAGATTATCTGACATTCCTAGAGTGCTGCTGGCTTTTGCCTGTTAGAACAGAAGCTGGGAGAAAACTTAATTTAATTTTTTGTCACCAAGAAATAGCAGCTGATACGGAAAGAGGAAAATACTAGGGACACAATTGTAGATAAAGTGGTTAGATATAATGTAGAGGTGGTCAAAGTGTGGCCCTGGAGCTGTAAGTAGTCCCAAAGGCATCTGATCCATCCTGTATTTGGGCGGGGGGGGGGGGGGGGTTAGGGTTAGGGGAGAGAGGTGACCAGCCTATTCTTTGAGTCTTTAGGAGCAGATTAAAAGACCCAATCCTTGCATTATATAAACTCTCTATGGCTAGAAAGCTCTTTTTCTTGGATAAATGTTACCACATTTATCCAAGGAAAAAGAACGTTCTGGCTATATAAGCTAGAAAGTTGTACTTCTTATTCATTTCCATGGCCACCTTGAGTTCATGATTGCACGACAAAAATTGTTCATAGCCTGTGGAAGCGGAAAAAGGAAGTTATAAGAATATCAGAGCCATTAGTATGATCATGAAAACAAGTCCATAGTTTTTATGTTATATAGTTCTTATTCATATATGATGCCATCAAACTTTTTATCTACTCGATCCTTTTATTTCAAAACTGCAATTCTTAAGATTCATCTTTCATTCGCCTTGTAATCATTTTTTTTACTCATGAGGCAACTTCATTTCTCCTTGCTTTTTTGGCTTTTGGCTTTTTTTTTACTTTCCCCACCCTTTATCTAGCTTCATTGACATGCCAAACTGTACCTGCTGCTTACTGCTAAAAAGCAAAACAAAAACATTGTTTGCTTTAATGTTTCTCTGCAATGAATGTTTATGTTCTGGCAAGAATAATGTAATTTATTTATGATTTGCAGGGAGATGAAGATGATGAAAATGCTAGGCCATTAGCTGAGTCACTGCTTTTAGCCATTGCGGATTTGCTCTTCTGCCCAGAATTCAGTGTTCAAAGTCATCGAAAAAACAATGTGGTAAGTCATATAGTCTTTTGTTTTGATTGTATCCTGACAGGTTTATTCAATAAGGTCCTTCTCAGAATGTCAAGAGAAAATGGTTAAACCTATATTAGATTCTCCATATGGCCTGGAGTAATTCACCCTCTGTCTGAAGTAAGGTGGAGTCTTCAGTGAACAACCTGGTGGTTTCTTTGGTCTCGCTCTCTATCTCTCAAAGATGGAGGGTGCTTACTGTTGGAAATGAAGATTTCTTATTCAGTCAATTAAGTTACTGCTTTGTTCATCTAAGTGTGCTATGCTAACTTTAGAAGACCAAAAATTAGCTTGGTAGAAAATGCTGTGGCACAGATTTCTAACTGGCCAGAAAGGGTATGTTGTGCTTCTGTGCCTTTAACAGAAGTTATCTAAGTTTTTCATGGAATGCAGATAAGCCTGGTCAACTACTATTAGCAGCAGGTCAGGTTGCATTATGACAATGACTCAAGGAACAGGTTCAGATATTGTCAATCATAGTTGTTCTGGAGAGTGGTAATACTTTTGCATTTAGGACAGATATTTTAGAAGAGTTGTTATTCTGATTATGTGTAGTATGATTGACATATTAACTAGTAACTGAATGCTTGGCAAATTACGACTAAAACTAAATATACTAAAGTTCTTCTAGGAAAAGCAAATCTAAATCTTTTGAATTTGTATTTTTTTCAGTTATATTCTGGTTTTAGATTCCTTCATACAAACTAAAAATTTTACAATAGAATTTATGTCTAATATTTTGTTATTTTTGTTGTAACATATATCATGACATTTCACATTGTGAGCCATTCAGGGGCTTTTAAAATATTACAAGTAATCTTGAGGCCATTTGGTGAAAAGTGAAATAGAATTTTAATAAATAAAAAATACATGCCACAACATTTTTTTTAAAAGCCAGCTTGGTTCTTGTGATTTTTATAAGTGAGCTTGCCACTGCCCTTTATAACTGGTGGTTTTGGTGATCAAGTGTGGCCTTTATGGCTCCTTAAAATACCACAAAGCCTGCTGTCCCACATTTTCAAAATCTGATGACTTTATAGTGAAAACCACTGTAAAATCAAGCAGTGTTCCCTGCCTGAAAACATCCCAAAAAAGGAAAAAAAAGTGGCTGAATCCAAACCAGAAGTAATGTGGCATCATATCTAGGTACATTACGAGTATGTGTGAGTGGGGGTGGTGGTACAGAGACAAAAATGCCCACCCTTTAGCTTTCTACCCTTTAGCTGTACCTTTAGATTAGAAATGTTATTTGTCAATGTGTTGTTCTGAGATCTTCTGGCAAAACAACAGAACTGTTGTTTCACAATAATAACTCATATTTACGTAGCTGTTAGTATGACTGAATCTGCCACCTGTATTTTAGTATTTCGTATGATGAATGTGGACACCGTAGTTTTTATACAAGATTTATAGACTTAGAAATGTAAAGCCCTGGGAGAACAGTTTTCCTTAAAACCCATATTTCCTTTAAAAATGGAAAAATTAAAAGTTGGGGGAAAATTGGATTATGGATTATTTTCTTTCATAATCATGGAGAATTGTGTGCTTGCATATTTATTTGTATGTGCTTTCAAGTTGCCTGCCAAATTACAATGAGTCTATGAATCTCATAGAGTTTTGTAAGACAAGGAATATATAGAGATGTTGGTTTCTCAGTTTCTTCCTCTGAAATATAGCCTATAGCCCTTATATTGGAGATTTCTTAACAAGTATTAACCAGAACTCACCCTGCTTTGCTTCCAAGATCAGATGCAACCTGGTGCCTTTAGGTATTTAGGCTCTTCCTTTCCTATGTTTACTCCCTCTAATTATTTCTAAATCGTAAGTAAACTAATAGTATCTGATCATTTAAGTTCTTTTATGAGATTCAGTTCTTTAAAAACAAAGTAATTTTCCTTGGTATCTGTGTTGATGAATTTTCTGTATTTCTTTAATTACTTATTTGCTCTTAATAAACCAGCAAAATCAAAAAGGTTTTTCCGTTTCAGGACCTTGTAGTTGTATTGTAACTTTTTTAAAAAAAATACATAATTAATTTGTAATTAATTAGCATAATTTATTATAGTGTATTAGAAAACCAATGGTAGATCTCAAACAGTGCTGATTAGTGTGTATTTCTCTCTGTATTTTTGTTTGTTTTGGCACTGCATTGTTCCTATTGTCTCCTTCTCCCTCGTCCCTAATACAGTTTCTAAGATGCTGAGGACTAGGTCATGTAGACCAAGCCATAATGTTTGGCCTGCTCTTTTAAATTAATGAGTGTTTCTGATCTATGACAATTTTGTGCTGTTTTCATAAAGACCAAATTAGAGTTGCCTGGTACAGGTTGTCCAAAGACTGTTATTGGCATGATGGCCTGGTGCTTCTGGCTGATCCATAGCTGGGATGGTGACAGTGTCCCTATTATTGTATCTTAAATCTTTCAATCACTACATTCATTCTTCGAAAGATATCATATCCCATTGTGTCTTGGAGACTAGATGCTGTACAGATTTGTTTGATTAGCATTCTTATTTATATCTTTCACCCTGCAGTTAATACTTGATGCACTGAAATTACCAGAATGTTGGAAGCCCCTGGTGGTGCAGTGGGTTAACTCTTGTGCCAGTAGGACTGCTGACCAAAAGGTCAGCGGTTCAAATCCGGGGAGCAGGGTGAGCTCCCATCTGTCAGCTCCAGCTTCTCATGCAGGGACATGAATGAAGCCTCCCACAGGATGGTAAAACATCCTAATGTCCCCTGGGCAATGTCCTTGCAGGCGGCCAGTTCTCTCACACAAGAAGTGACTTGCAGTTTATCAAGTCGCTCCTGACACAAAACAAACAAACAAACAAAAAAACCCCCAAAAACCCAGAATGTAAAAAATTACAGAATTCACATATTGCTCGTTTTTAAAAATTCACCTGGATGAAGATTAATGGAAAGTTGCAAAAATATTTATACTCTCATGTAATGTGTGCATTTTGTTCCACAAGAGTTTTTTATTTAAAATTTTGAGATTTTCTGTCTTTTTATTACTTTTTCTACAGTAAGCCATTTTAGTGTTGCTAAAATGTTGCTGTATTGCTAGAAATGGAATTAAAACTAAAGTTCTGCTCTGTACACTATTTCCCATCATAATTCTGCAAAACTGAATATTTGTAGGCTGAAAAGATGAAAATGCTGTAGGTGTATAGTTATTCTAAGAATTAACGAGAAACACAGTAATAGAGTTGAGACATGGTATAAGCGATAAGTTTTTTTTTTTTTTGGAAAGTGCTTTATTCTTTGAACCCAGTTTTATGGGTTAGGGACGAATGCATGGGCCCTTCAGTGCTTGCCATAAAAGAAGTAATTGCTTTGATTTCCGGTATGTGAGTTTGATATGCATTTATCACATATTGTGTGATTTTTTTCTGTTTTTTATCTGTGCTGAAGTTATTACTGTAGTGCAAGATATTTAAAAGCTGTGGTCACTTCACTGATAGACATTATATTAAATTGTTATGGTAAAGCACTAGTGCAAACAAACTCTTCTGGCTAATAACAGATGGAACTGTTTTAGCATGTTCGAGAAAGATTTCCAAGAAACTGAGCATGACCTTTTTGTGTAGTTGTTTTATTCCACATGGCTCTGCAAATCTGATTGGTTTACCCCAAACAATCCTTGAGTAGCAGAAATCAGTCAAGTATTGCCTGCATGGAGATATATAACTACATAAAAGTTTCACTGCTTGCAAAATGATGTGGTTCAGTGATGTCTTAGTTGCAGTCTCTCAACTGTTGCACTGTTCTTGTGCTCTGAACCAATGATTTGTGAGGTTTACCATTATATAATGGAAGTTCAGACGTGTTAGGCAAGAACAAGTGTGGGGTCTTTGTGTGCCAGGAAAAGGACAGCACAGAGAATTTTGCTTAATTAAAGCACTGAAAGAACTTGCCTTAAATGATGCCAGGCAACCTTGATTTGAGCATGTTAACCTTTAGTCCAGCATTTTGTACTTTTACTTGGAAAGTTAAAAAAAAAGATTACAGTGGTTACTTCTCTCCACAGAATTAGAGTAATTTGCCTGGAGTTCAGAAAAGGGAATACTGCTACCATAGGACAAGTGTGGAACAACAATAGATGCATCAAAGTATTTATTTTAATAACATGAGATATAAAGAAAACTCTGTAGAGGGATGGGAAAAGACTTATAACTTCATGCCCTTGAAAACATCCCATCACACAGTATTGTGAAGAAAGTACAATTGAAATTTGGATTTTAGATAAGATATAATAAGATTTAAGATAACTAAAAATAATATCAAGGTACTGTTTTATCAATGCCTTTGACGGGGGAGGGTGGGATCTGCTAAAGAAGTGTATGTCTTCTTCCACAATCCTAGTTGTCCTAGACCTGAGACGGTAAAAGGAATTTGGCCTAATAATTTCTTATGTGACTCTGGGTATATAAGTTTATAAAATAGGCATACAAATCAAACATTTGCTGTAAAAAATCGGCATTTTGAAGGCTTGCTAAATAGGTTGATTTTCCTTTTTATGAAGTACAGGTTAGAAGCATTTTCTGCAGAGTCCACTGTAAACACTGCATGTTGTTATTAACATATTTGTGTAAATGGGTGACATTCATATTGCAGGTACCTAAATATTGCAGGTACCTAAATGTGTTTCTAATGCCACCCTGCGACTAGAGACGGGTTTTATGAGAGTGGAGGCCAGGGTGTGGGCGGCCATACTTAACCTCTGGCTCAGACTGTCCCATGCACCCCTTGGCCTTGCCCCAGTAACCATGGAGGATGACTTCCAATCCACATGGAAGCAGGCGGTAGCATCCAAAATCTCCTCGTTGGGATTTTCTCCAGGTCTACTATTAGCTATGGATTACAATCAAGCCAAAGCACTTATTAAACAACGTATCACAGACACAGAGCGCCAACTAGATCTGGCCTCGGCTCCAACCTTCCTTATCAGTGAAGACAGCAGATACCTTGCCTCCCCTATGGCATATTTAACATACTTAGAGGTTCCTATTCATCGAAGGGCTTTCACCCTGGCCCGATGCCACGCTCTCCCATCAGCTGTACTCGAAGGTCGCTACCGGAAGATCCCTTTCCCAGAGAGACTCTGCCCCTGTGACTCGGGTCATGTAGAAACAATAGAACATGTGCTCCTTCAGTGCCCGTTCTACAGGGATCTCCGTGCCAGGCTTATCTTACCTCTGATAGACAAGCACCCAGGCCATTCAGGACAATTTTATACCTCCCTGCTACATGCAGATACTAATTCAGCTACAACCTACAATGTCGCAAAGTTCTGTGCAGCAGCATACAAAATCCGCCAGGGAATGACTAGTTCCAAAAGTCAACTGTGTGTCCAGTAATCTTCTTCCCTGAATCTACAATTTGGTGATGGATCTGGGCATTGTATGTTTTTACCCTGTTTCCCCTTCTGCTCCCTCACCCATATTGTGTTTTTAGTAGTTATATTTATATTTTTAATGTACCAAACATGCCAGGTTTGTATGGAAATGTGACACTATTTCCTGTGCTGGTCAATGACCGAAATAAATGTTTTGATTGGATGACATTCAGAAACCTTTTACCGTTGCTAATTTTTTCATGATCCCAACGTTGAAGTAAAGGAACCCCATTTAGGGTTGGGACCTATTGTTTAAGAGGCCTTGCGCTAGAGGACAAAGAACAGTTGAGCTATATGCATTTGGTCTATGTATTACTATTAATCTACTGAAATCCATGCCAGGAATAATTGGATTGAAAGACAGAGTATAAGTCTTCTGAATACTTTGGAGTATGTGTCATTCAACTAGGTCCACAAAAATAAAACAAAACACAGCATCATTTCTTGTAGTATAAATTTTGGTATCCACTGTGTACCATATGACCTACTTGTAGGATTCCCTAAGGGGACAATTAAATACATAGTGGTGACTCTGCCTCTCTAATTATTATATAAGGTTAGAAATGTTTATCTGCAATTCTCTTTCTCTCTTGGTATTCATGTAGGATACTTTTAAAGCAGGATACATTTGTTCAGATAGGGTTTGCCTTTGCCTTCCCCTGAACCAGTTCACCTTCAATCAGAAATAACCCGAAGGCACTCAGCAGTAGTTGGAGTATGTGTTGCATTCTAGGGTCTTCATCCTGCCTCAGTCATGAGACACATATATGTGCAACACTTGTGTCTTATGTTTTCTGGCTTTCTTTTTACCACAGAAAATTTGCTGAAGAGAAAAAGACTGAATAATCTTTAGTGGCATTGGGAGTCCCCAGTCTTGAACCACCTTCTGTTCTGAATGACTCTCAGGTCTATATCACACTATTCATGAAATCAGCTCCGCAGCTCAGCAGTAGTCTCTGCTGGTGAAGCACCACATGTGTTGCGTGATCGGGCAGCTTCTATGAGCTTTCGTTTTCATTTTGTCTTTCCTGCCTACCTTTCCAGGACACAGCTGAGGATATCCATGCAATTGATAGCTGTGAATACATCTGGGAAGCTGGTGTTGGGTTTGCGCATTCCCCACAACCAAACTACACCCATGATCTAAACAGGTGAGAATACTGGAGAATAGGCAATAGAGGGGTGATTGTATGATTCAAACGAATTTGGGATGTGAGGGTGATCTGTCTGCAATATTTGTCAATCAATGGGTTGATGCCCCTTTCCTCCCTCACGGCTCCATGAACACTCCTCCTGAAGCTGTGCGCTTGGTGGAAGAGGACAACTATTCCTGACAGAAAGAGTTTATCATTCTTCAGCACTAGGCATCAAAGTGATGTTACCATCTCATAAACAATTCTGAGCATGTGTGGAAATCCAGCTGGTCAGATGTTAATGGTATCTTAGATTATGCATCATGAAATTTTGGAATAAGTTTCATGAAAGGGAAGCATTTGTTTCCTATTCAAGTGCACAGTGTGTATGGTGCTTGATAGAATATGAAAGCCAAGTCATCATTAATTTATAAAATGGCACGAGTTGGCAATGCTAATGATGCAAAAGCCATTTCAATGGCTGCATTGTGTTTCAGCATTTACTATCACTGTTCACTTACTGGAACTAGATGCACTCTTGTAATCGGGATGGGGCCAAGCAGGGGGCATCATTGTGACAACTTGACATTTTATTAGCTGCTCATTGTGGCCTGGATAATGTATTTTTGCCCCATGGCTCCTGACAAGTGTGTCTCTCTGTGTGTAAACAGTCCTCCTAAAAACATTTCTTTGATCAGAAAAAGAACTGGTAATGAGAGTGGTTAATGGTAACCTGCATAAGTTTTTCTTGGAAAAAAGTTGAAAAAACTATTAGAACAGAAGTGAGCCAAAGCTTCAGGCCAATGGGATAAATCCAAAACAAATTACCTGCATGTTCCTATAAATGGACCTTCTTCCTTCTTTTTTCAGGACAGAGCTTTTGAAACTCCTGCTGACTTGTTTCTCAGAGGTCATGTACCTGCCCCCCTCCTCAGACAGTGGCAATACTAATCCATGGGTCCAGTTCTTTTGCTCCACTGAGAACCGGTGAGCTGTTTGTGTTTGGAGGTTGCTTCTGAGAAAAGGCTAGGTGTAATTCTAGTCTTTTACCTGTTCACCCCTTTCCCCATTTTTTTTTTTTGCTGGCTGTTTCAAAAAAAGCTAATTTGTTTCCTGTCACTTCAGTATACTATAGCTTGAATGATAACAGTTGCTTATCTTGAATTCACACATTTTGCCAAGATAATAGGTGTATATTTTTCTCTTCTTCATATTATAAATTGAATTTCATTGTACTTCTGGAATGAATTCTGACTGTTCTGGCCAGTTCTGCTTATTCATTTGCTTTGTAATTCTAGATTCCTGACAAATGCTGCCCCCTAGTGTTAATGCCTTGGATTATCCTTCCTCTCAAAATGGTTTAAGCCAGTGCATTTTAGCTAGATTTCTCCCACTGCCATTCATGTTTTAAAAGAGCCCTTTTTTCAATACTCCTTTTCATTGTTAGTCCCCTAACCATGGAATAGCTTTCCTTGGAGAGTCTGCTTGATGCTTACATCATAATCTTTTCAATGACAGATGAAGTCCTACCTCTTTCTGGGTGTTTCATGACATTTAATATCACCATAAGACCCTTACAGTTTAAATTTTCATTCTTTATTTTATTACTTGTCACCCATCAAGAATTATTATGTGGGCAGTATTCAAAAGAGGCAAATAAAAATTAAAAATTACCATATCAATTGATAAAATTAAAAATATCATTGATAAATTTTTATGTATTGGCATGAGAGCTTTGAGTCCCCCCCCCCCCCCCCGCCGGGGTGAGAAAGGCGGTATATAAATACTGTAAATAAATTAATAAATTTATTATCTGAACTTAAACATTGTCTGCTCAGATTCTTCAAAATTGTCTTTATTCTTAGTAAAGTTGACATTATTATTTCTATTCTAATGACTGTAGTTTTACTCCTTTCTCCATATAATGGAAGGGAGCAATGCCACTATAAAATATGGTGTAAAACATATAACCGTCAAAGAAATGTATGTTCTATATTTTGAAATAGTAAGCCCATTTGTTCATTCTCCATGGAAGAGACAGGCTTGCTGGTGTTTATGCTTTTGCCATATTAAAAAAGAAAAAAGAAAAGAAAAGAAAAGAAAGCAGTGCAAGTATTTGTAGTTTCCATAACACGAGGCAATTGTCTTTGGTAAAATAAACCAATGTGAACATGAAAGTGCACAGTATAAATAGATATTATTTTGTGATTTATTGTAATTTGCTTTGAGTGGATTCCTTTTAGAAAGGGATTTAGTATATTTTTAGTACTTTATTCATTGATGGCAACATCACAGTCACTCATACTATATATTCTATAATGAAATAAGAAATGAGATGTTTTTCTGTGTGGCCTTTGTGGCTCATAAAAATGATCTGCCTGCACAAAATGCTTGAAACATACAAGCAAGCATCTTTTGGAAGATACTTTGGGATATTACTCTGTTTACCCAAATGGTAGAATGAATAACCCCAAATAATCAATACCAGAAAAGAACTGTGTTTCCTTTTGACTAATTCATGTTTATTCTGAGGCATGTGAGCTTTATTTTTACTCAGCCGTGAAATAGCTTTAATGGAATGCATATCTTGTAGAAATACTGCTTCTCTTGGAAAAGCTTTTAACACAGCAAGTTTTTTTTTCTGTCCAGTGTACCTTTTTAAGCATGTTGGCTCCTCTTTCAGGCATGCACTACCACTGTTCACTTCCCTCTTGAACATCGTCTGTGCTTATGATCCAGTGGGCTATGGGATTCCTTATAACCACTTGCTGTTCTCGGACTATCGTGAACCCTTAGTGGAGCAGGCAGCCCAAGTCCTGATAGTCACGTTGGACTATGACACTTCCACCAGCTCCAGTCCAACAGTAGATGGCACTACAACTGGCACAGCCATGGATGATATTGATGTGAGTTGCACCCAGTTTTAACCCAGTGATAGTACTTGAGGGTGCACATATGATAGTGGTGTTTGGCTTTCCTTTCCAGGGAATTTGTAGGGGCATGCCAATAAAAGTGTTTTAGTTTCCCACGGATTTCTGTATAAGTGTATATTATGAGGCAGGAGCACAGATTTACACAGCGTTTTATAGCTGACCGCCATTAGACAGTTAGGATGCCAGCATCAATGCTTGTCTTTCCCTCAGTTAACTCAGAATAACTGACAAATCATGAAGAATCCCTGACTGTCTGTGGCTTGCCCAGTAGACATATAGATGGAAGTCCTAAGCATAAAGTTCTTTGAAAAATTAAAATCAAACATTGTAGGTAGTCACGCTTCAAAAGATGAGTAGTATTGCTTGGATTTCAAGACATATATAACTTAAACCGTTTGATGGTTTTTTAAAAAACAAGGAAAGTCATATAATAGCAACTTAGAAAAACAAGTTACTGAATCCTCCTGCCTCAAGTCTTGTATTTCCTCAGTCAGATAAGCCCGAGTTGGGTGGAGTCTTGAAGATGAAAATTTTCATCACCCTCTCTCTCATAAAATTAGCATGCTACTTACACACAGCTCGATTTTCTGACTCTTCCTCTGAAGGTCTAGCAAAACAACTGTTTTTTAAAAAGTGTGTGTGTGGGGAGGGGGGGGGGTTAAGAAAATTTCTCTTCCTCTTTGATTTGCAGTCTTCCTGAAATAAACATTTCATGTAGTTTCCTGAAACAGTTTTTCAGATAAAATAATTGGGATTTCTTGGCAGTTGCTTGGAAAAACAGGGGCAAAAGTGGTAGGTGAGAGAGAAGAACTATTTAGCGCTCTCACCCACCTTATTGGTGACTGTCATTTTATGCTCATGTTCTGCTCTCAAACAATTTAATCAAAATAGAAGGCACAGAATCCAACAGTTTCCTTAGTCCTTTCCTTAATTTCCAAGCCATGCTTATCTGCAGTCTCATTATTGAATAAATGAAAGCCCTTGGGGAAACTGATTGTAGGACAGCATATCACAAGTTCCATTTAACAAGTCCGAAGGCAGACAGCAGTATTGATTAATTTTGGAAATGGCTGAGCACACATAAATTATAATATTGAAGCTCTTGTCAGACAGGAATCCTAGGCTAAATGGCAATAATGGAAACTGGTGCCCAACATGCGGAGGTGTTTGGGAGCCAAAGAAATGTATGTTGTGTGCAGATGTGCATAGCAAAACTTCAGCAACCTCCTACAGAGGGAAATCATTTTAGTAAAAAACCAGTGTGGGAAGCAAGAGTTGAATCCTTTCCCTGTATGCTACTTTTTCAGAACATCCAGGGTTCTGTATATGTTTTTATAACTTCAGGAAAAGATTAGATGGAATTGTTGAGCTGGTAGAATATCAGTGCTACTGACAGGAAGGCTGTTGCTTCTTGAGACAGTAGAGTATCTTCCCACTGCTCCTCCATCTTGAATCAGTGTTGAGCTTATTCTCTATAGTTAGCCAAAGTCCTGTTGGGATGTTTGGATTTTTAAAATTTTCATTTCAGCCAATATATAGCTTGAGATCAGTGTAACAATTGTGATTAATTTTAGACCTGAACACTAGCCTCCTGAGACCCCTCATTTCTTCTTAATGCTAAACTAACTTTATTCTGCGCTAATCTGCATATCAACCGGTTCACCTTAGGCTTTTGTAGTTCTAGCAGAAGTGATTATTTGGGTTTCCTCTGCTTCCTTCCTAGCTGCACTACATCTTGGGATGATGTTCCATACTGTCCAATGGGCAGGGACTGTAGAGACAAAACAAAAAAATTAGTCTGGCCTTTCAAATATTTTAGACTATCACTTGTATAATATATTATCATTGGCTGTTGTGACTAGGGAGCTAAAAATTAAAACATCTGGATGGGTAGTGTTTTCACTTCTACTCTAATCATTAATTTTCTGACCTGTGGTTAATGAACGAATAGTGCAGGACTTTCCTGTATGGACATGTCTTTGGGGACCGATCTCACCACTGATAACTTCATCACACTAGAGGAAAAGTCCACTTAAAATTCGGTTTCTGCCTCCTGCAGGATTCTAGGGTTTGTAGTTTAGTGAGGCTTTTAAAGGCTCCACCCTAAACTACAAACCTCAGAATTCTGCAGAAGGCAGAAACCGGATTTTAAGTGGATTTTTTCTTTAGTGTGATGAGGCCTTTCAAGAGAGTCTAGGTGAAATGTAGAAGACAAGGGAGTTTCTTCTACATTTCAAAAGAGGATGCAGTTTTACTCATGAGGCAAATAGGAGGAAAGGAGAGAGATATATTCTTTTTTGGAGTATAAAAGAGTGCCCCCATAAAAATAAGCTCACCATCTTCCCCCATAATTAAACAATGCATACTGTGTTAGGCTTTTGTATGGTGTGTGTGTATTGTAGACTATAAATTATTTATATACTTGGTCCATGCCATTTGCTGGAGTTAGGGAGGCAGGATCCCCATGAAAGTGGAAAAACCATGAATTAAAAACAAAACAAAACCTTTTAAACAATTACAGTAATGTATGGGGCTAACAGTATGAGTTACACCGGAGACCTGAATAATCAAATATCTGAATAGTCAAATCCACAAAAGTTAAAACCACAAATGTGAAGGGCTGACTGTATTGCTTTTCCCAAGTGGATTGGATCTTGATGCTTAGCATTTCTCAGTCCTTATATTTTATGAAAAAATTGTGCAAAAGTGTTGTCGAAGGCTTTCATGGCTGGAATCACTGGGTTGCTGTAAATTTTTCAAGCTATATGGCCATGTTCCAGAAGCATTCTCTCCTGACATTTTGCTTGCATCTGTGGCAGGCACTCCAGCAAAGGATCACCGCCTTGTCGGGGCGCTGGAGCTTGAGCACCTCAATGATGTCATGAGCGAAACCGTGAAGGGACACCCAAGACGGGACGGTTGTGGCAGAGAGGTCAGACCAAGCGTGATCCCTGGGGAAGGCAATGGCAAACCACTCCAGTATCCTTGCCAAGAAAACTAAATGGACCAGTACAACCAGAGATATGTCGGTATGCCATTGGAAGAAGGGACTCCCAGGTCGGAAGATGGCCAAAATGCTACTGGGGAGGAGCAGAGGATAAGTTCAACTAGCCCCAGATGTGATAACGCAGCTAGCTCAAAGCCGAAAGGAAGGCTAGCGGCCGACGGTACTGGAGGTGAACGACGAATCCGATGCTCTAAAGATCAACACACCATAGGAACCTGGAATGTAAGATCCATGAGCCAGGGCAAATTGGATGTTGTTATTGGTGAGATGTCAAGACTAAAGATAGACATTCTGGGGGTCAGCGAACTGAAATGGACTGGAATGGGCCACTTCACATCAGATGACCACCAGATCTACTACTGCGGACAAGAGGAACATCGAAGAAATGGAGTAGCCTTCATAATTAATAAGAAATTAGCTAAAGCGGTGCTTGGATACAACCCAAAAATGACAGAATGATCTCAATTCGAGTGCAAGGAAAGCCTTTCAACATTACAGTGATCCAAATATATGCCCCAACCACAGCTGCTGAAGAAGCAGAAGTAGATCAGTTCTATGAGGATCTGCAGGACTTACTGGATAATACACCAAAAAGAGACATTATTTTCATTACAGGAGACTGGAATGCCAAGGTGGGAAGTCAAATGACAACTGGGATCACAGGCAAGCATGGTCTGGGAGAACAAAATGAAGCGGGACGCAGGCTGATAGAATTTTGCCAGGAAAACTTGCTGTGTATAACTAATACTCTCTTCCAACAACCTAAAAGACGGCTTTATACATGGACCTCACCAGATGGTCAACACCGAAATCAGATTGACTACATCCTTTGCAGCCAAAGGTGGCGGACATCCATCCAGTCGGTGAAAACAAGACCTGGGGCTGACTGTAGCTCATATCACGAACTTCTTATTGCCAAATTTAGAATAAAACTAAAGAGATCAGGGAAAATACACAGACCAGTTAGATATGATCTCACTAACATTCCTAGCGAATATACAGTGGAAGTGAAGAACAGATTTGAAGGACTAGATTTAGTCCCAGAAGAACTATGGACAGAAGTCCGCGACATTGTTCAGGAGGCGGCAACAAAGTACGTTCCAAAGAAAAAGAAAACCAAGAAGGCAAAATGGTTGTCTGCTGAGACACTGGAAGTAGCCCAAGAAAGGAGGAAAGGAAAAGGAAACAGTGAAAAGGGGAGATATGCCCAGTTAAATGCGCAATTCCAGAGGTTAGCCAGAAGAGATAAGGAACTATTTTTAAATAAGCAATGCATGGAAGTGGAGGAAGACAACAGAATAGGAAGGACAAGAGACCTCTTCCAGAAAATTAGAAACATTGGAGGTAAATTTCAGGCAAAAATTGGTATGATAAGAAACAAAGATGGCAGGGACCTAACAGAAGCTGAAGAGATCAAGAGAAGGTGGCGAGACTATACAGAAGATCTGTATAGGAATGATAATAATATTGAGGATAGTTTTGACGGTGTGGTGAATGAATTAGAACCAGACATCCTGAGGAGTGAGGTTGAATGGCCTTAAGAAGCATTGCTAACAACAAGGCAGCAGGAGACGACGGGATCCCAGCTGAACTGTTTAAAATCTTAAAAGATGATGCTGTCAAGGTGATGCATGCAATATGCCAGCAAATATTGAAAACACAAGAATCGCCATCAGACTGGAAAAAATCAACTTATATCCCCATACCAAAAAAGGGAAATGCGAAAGACTGCTCAAACTTCCGTACAGTGGCCCTTATTTCTCATGCCAGTAAGGTAATGCTCAAGATCCTGCAAGGAAGACTCCAGCAATACATGGAAAGAGAGTTGCCAGATGTACAAGCTGGGTTTAGAAAAGGCAGAGGAACGAGAGACCAAATTGCCAATATCCGCTGGATAATGGAGAAAGGCAGGGAGTTTCAGAAAAACATCTATTTCTGTTTTATTGATTATTCTAAAGCCTTTGACTGTGTGGATCATAATACATTGTGGCAAGTTCTTAGTGGGATGGGCATCCCAAGCCACCTTGTCTCTCTCCTGAAAATCTGTACAAGGACCAAGTAGCAACAGTCAGAACTGACCACGGAACAACAGACTGGTTCAAGATTGGGAAAGGCGTACGGCAAGGCTGCATACTCTCACCCAACCTTTTTAACTTGTATGCAGAACACATCATGCGATGTTCGGGGCTGGATGAATGCAAAGCTGGGGTGAAAATTGCTGGAAGAAACATTAACAACCTCAGATATGCAGATGACACCACTCTGATGGCCGAAAGCGAGGAGGAGCTGAGGAGCCTTCTAATCAAGGTGAAAGAAGAAAGCGCAAAAGCCGGGTTGCAGCTAAACGTCAAAAAAACCAAGATTATGGCAACAAGAATGATTGACAACTGGCAAATAGAGGGAGAAACCGTGGAGGCCGTGACAGACTTTGTATTTCTAGGTGCAAAGATTACTGCAGATGCAGACTGTGGCCAGGAAATCAGAAGACGCTTACTTCTTGGGAGGAGAGCAATGTCCAATCTCGATAAATATTGAAGAGTAGAGACATCAGACTGGCAACAAAGATCCGCCTAGTCAAAGCCATGGTATTCCCTGTAGTAACCTACGGATGTGAGAGCTGGACCTTAGGGAAGGCTGAGCGAAGGAAGATCGATGCTTTTAAGCTGTGGTGTTGGAGGAAAGTGCTGAGAGTGCCTTGGACTGCGAGAAGATCCAACCAGTCCATCCTCCAGGAAATAAAGCCCGACTGCTCACTGGAGGGAAAGATACTAGAGACAAAGTTGAAGTACTTTGGCCACATCATGAGGAGACAGGAAAGCCTAGAGAAGCCAATTATGCTGGGGAAAGTGGAAGGCAAAAGGAAGAGGGGCCGACCAAGGGCAAGATGGATGGATGGCATCCTTGAAGTGACTGGACTGACCTTGAGGGAGCTGGGGGTGGTAACGGCCGACAGGGAGCTCTGGCGTAGGCTGGTCCATGAGGTCACGAAGAGTCGGAGACGACTGAACGAATGAACAACAACAAGTGGCAGGCATCCACAGAGGTTGTGAAAGATCCTTCTGGAACATGGCCATACAGGAGAGAATGCTTCTGGAACATGGCCATATAGCCCGAAAAACTTACAGTAACCCATTGTGCAAAAGTATTACCCGTTAAGAAATCTATGTATGATTTTTATATGTTTTAAAGCAAATGTTAAGAAGCCCTTATGTGGTTTCCTTTTGATGCAGCCTCCAGGACCAGACAATCTGTTTGTCAATTACTTGTCCAGGATACACAGAGAAGAGGTAACATACCATATTCTACTTCTGACTGCTTATTGGTGTAACCTTAAAGCACATACTTCATGTTCCTCTTATAACTTCTGTCTTGTTAGGATTTCCAGTTTATTCTGAAGGGAGTGGCCCGTCTTCTCTCCAACCCGCTGCTCCAAACTTATCTGCCAAATTCGACCAAAAAGATACAGTTCCATCAGGAACTTTTGGTTCTCTTCTGGAAACTGTGTGATTTCAACAAGGTATTTGTTACTAATAAAGAATCAAAGGGAGAAATCAACATCTGCTTAAAGAAAAACAAAGGATAGGAATGGGAGAACTGGAAGTGATTGTCAGATGACAGTGTTGAGTAGGACTGAAATATCAGCCCTACTGTATCTTCCAAGTAAAACACGAAGCTGGAATCAGCCCTGAAACTGAGCAGGAAGGCAAACAAACAAGATAATAACTGTGGCTAAAGTATCTACCAAGTCAACTGGGTCAAGATAAATAAAATTTATTCTATTCATAAATTATTTGTTGCCTGCCTCTCCTCCAAACTTGTGACCGATACAACACTGTTAAAATACATAGATAAAAACATAGACCATTAAAACACCTAAATTAAAATGCAGACATACAATTAAAACCGATCACGTCATTCATACTGATACAATGTAACTTTAAACTTTTAAGTGAAAATTGACTAGATAGGCCTCTGTTTTATATTCTGACAGCTCATTTAGTTAGCAGGTCATTCCACAGTCTAGGAGTGACCAATTAAAGGTCAGTGATAAAGAAATATCTAATGCAGGCTTGATAATCCTTATCCAAAGCTTTTGTGACTTCACATCAAGCATAGTTCTTAAATATGAAGCTACTGGGAGACTGACTTGCATCAATATATTATTTATATATTATTTATATATTATTTACACAGCTTTGTGGAGCATCAGCTTCATTTTATTTGTCCTCTGAACATTTGGGAAAATTAAAGTTGTGCAAAATACTTATTTTCTTCCTTTTTCAGAAATTTCTCTTTTTTGTGCTGAAGAGTAGTGACGTCCTAGACATCCTGGTGCCAATTCTTTACTTCCTAAATGATGCCAGAGCAGATCAATGTAAGTTTATTTTTGTGTTCTAAAACATTTTGAAAAGGTTTGTTTGTCCACTTGGGCAGACATCTTGGTGGGATGTTGCTCTACTTGCAGATGCCTCCTTAGATATGTCTTTCAGCAGAAGGATTGTGTCTGTAGATAGAACCTGAAGTCAGAAATTTGAAATTTACATTGGAACAAGTGCCATCATAAACAGTTTTCCCCTGCTGATGTTATTGTTGTGAGCTTTCAAGTGAACTCTGACTTACAGTGATCCTATCCTTGCCATATTTAGTCAGAGGAGGTTTACCACTGCGTTTCTCATGGGCTGAGAGAATGTGGCTAGCCCAATCCACTGGGTTTTTATATCTGGCTGAGGATTTGAATCCTGGTTTCTCAGTATCCTTCTCTAACACTCAAACCACTAAACTACACTGGGTCTTTCTCTGCTGATATAAATACATTCAAGTGTGACTATAAATGCTGTGTCGCAGTACTACATGTGCTACTACCATCTCGTTTGACTCTAAAACTTCCTTTTTTACTATAAGGTTACTTTGCCAGTCCTGCCTACAGGGATATTGAGGAGAGACACATTACTTCTTGACATAAAACCTTTGGTGGGGGAAGGGTGGGGGCAGTCAAGCAGACTTTGATTGATTTATTATGTTCCTTCATTAGGAGCACCACATTAAATGGCAGTGGTTCCATATATAGAAACATCTTCTATATTCTATCTTCACTTCCCGGTCTTCCTTTGTAACTTCAAGGTTCTTTTCATAGATCTATTGAATGATTTAATTTCAGCATGATTTAATTTTTCCCCTCCTGTAGCTCGAGTTGGTCTAATGCATATTGGTGTCTTCATTCTTTTGCTACTGAGTGGAGAGAGGAATTTTGGGGTTCGCCTGAACAAGCCGTATTCCGTGCGAGTACCAATGGATATCCCTGTGTTTACAGGGACACATGCAGATCTTCTTATCATTGTGAGTGTATCAGTTGCTGCAAATGCCTCTGTTTTTTTCTCATCAGGGAGTGTTCATTTTGGGGGAGGTGGGGAATCTACAGCTTGACTTTAATAATAGTATGTAATAATATTAAGTTCGAGACTTGTTCTTTAGTGAAAGTGACATCCATCACAGAAGTAAAAGGAGAGTTAGACCTGTTCTCGTTCATGCTATCATTGTAATTCCATACTCCAGGTCTTTCACAAGATTATCACCAGTGGACACCAGAGGCTGCAGCCCCTTTTTGACTGCCTTCTCACCATTATTGTGAATGGTAAGCCACCTGAACTATTCCGATGCTTTGGCCAATTAAGATTAGTTTTTAAACCACAATTTTGACAGAATCGGGAAACCAATAGTGTAGCAGCTTTTTTCTGAGAATCTCAGGTGCAGATAATGACTATAGATGTATTGCAACTGGAAATCTTCCCTTATTTCCTGAGACTGTTGTGGAGGAAGCCATGATAAATGAAACAATTGATAAAATATTGGAAGTTTCACTTGAGAAATTCTATTTCACCAATGACCATTGGAATGATTTTATGATTGGTGGGATGATGCAATACCGCATTCCTTGCAGTAGATGGCACCAACTGCCTTCACCATTACTGTCCAAGCTGTTTATTAATAGGCTTGGGATCAAGATTTATTCCATAGGAGAAATAGTTTACAGCATCTTTAGTGGAGCTACTGCTTTATATTTCTCCCAGTTGAGATTATTTGTTTTGTCTCCTTCACACTCAGGCCCCAGGGAGGCACTTAAAGATGTGCTAAGAAGGATATAGCAGTATTTCAAAAAGTCAGTTGAAGAGTACTTTAAAGGCAGGGCTGTATGATAAGTCTATTTCAAATGCTTCTCTTTGTAAGTGTTTGTATTCTCCGTTTCAGAAGAACGCAGTAAAATTGAATAGTGTAGTTTTTGTCATTCCCTTTCTTATGAAATTGTACGTAGCATCCTTAGCTAGATTCTTAGACAAGAGGGAATTTGCTATTTTCTTGTCAACTTTATTCCAAACGTTCCCAAAATTAGTAGATACTAACCCATTCTTTGTCCTTAGTCTGAAAAGCTTCTAGTGAAAGCCTTGTGTTACTTATTATAAAATCTAACTTTCTGACTCTTACTTGTGCTATTTTTGCGAACTAGAATTCTGCAATATTTTTAATGAAGGGCCCAGCAGAACAGTTCATGGTTATCTACTGTGTCAGAAGCAAGTTGAGGGTACAGTTAAAATGCATTTAAAAATACAAAAAAAGTTGCCGTTATGCTAAATGTCCTTTGACCAGTAGCTGGCCACTTGGAGTGCCTCTGGTGTTGCTGTGAGAAGGTCCTCTATTGTGCATGGGGCAGAGCTCAGGTTGCATTGTAATAGGTGGTCTGTGGTTTACTCTTCTCACCACTCGCAGTTATATTCATAGGATGCACCAGTTCCATGAAGCCATTGGCTTAAATTTCACTCCCAACTGCTAATATTCACCCCTTTCTATCATTCCCTCTCCCTTCTCTCTTGTTACCTCCAACACTATCAAAATTTAGACTGCAGTTTTCTTGGAATTGGTTAAGAGAGAGGAAAATCCTTGTCGTTTTTCTTGTTTAATCATATGTAAGACATGAATCCTGGATGGTGCTGTGACTGAGCACCCTAACTGCCTGTTCTGTTTTCCTCTGCTTTATTGTTCCCTTTTTGCAGTATCTCCATACTTGAAGTCTCTTTCCATGGTAGCTGCTAACAAACTACTGCACTTGTTGGAAGCCTTTTCAACTACCTGGTTCCTCTTCTCCACTGTTCAGAATCACCACCTTGTCTTCTTTTTGCTAGAGGTTTTCAACAATATCATCCAGTATCAGTTTGATGGTGAGTGGCAAATCAAGAAAGTGGCTCTATATGTCTTCCCAGTTGCTTAGCAATAGACATTTCTGGAACTCTGGGTATATACAGTGATAATTCTGTGTTGTCTATAATAAAATGTGCCAAACTTCAGTCTTTTATTTATGTCCTTTCCTAATGGTAGGCTCTGATTTTTACTGACACTTAAATTTGGATGTACGGTATACATCCAAATTTATGGGAGAATTCTGGGAACTTCTTTGCTTTTTCCGTCCCTTTCCCCTTTTTTACTGGAAGAGAAAAGGCTGCCTAGTTGATTACTTAAAAAGAACATAAAGCAACAACTTCTTGGTAGATACTTTTAACAGAAATACTACTAGTGGCATTTACATGTTTTGCTCATTTACTTATGACAGTTTTAATCTAAAGGGTACATTCCATTCTTCTATTTCCCCACTCCTTTGTACATAATGTTTCAGGGCATATCACTGTAGCTTCCTCTTTACAGATTGGGAACTAAAGCACAAAGGCAGTGACAATGTCAAGATTTTCATGCTTCAATCAATAACCATATGAGAAATGGAATTCAAACTCTCAATTCTAAATCCTCCATTAATGGCTATTGGACAATAATCCTTGGCCACTTCCTTTTATTCCGTTGTTTCTAAGAATATAATTTTCAGCACTGGGGACACTATAGAAGTTTATTTTGAGATCTTGATGAATCAGGCATGGTTTACATTGAGGGACAATGCTAGTTTGCCATTTGTTGATCCAAGATCCCTAAGTACCCTGAGTGTGCATAGCAATTACTCAAGAACCATGCCCTGACTTTCAGTGTCTAGCTCTTGTTTCTAGAGCAAGAAAATAGAAAAAAACTGGGAAAGTCATTAAGTCAGATTATAGTTTTGCTTATTTATGTTGTTTTACCCCAGGGATGCATGTATTTATTTGTTTTAATGGGGTTTTTTGCCCCGTGTTTTAGTAAAAACGATTCCCATCATAACTTCTTCGAAGTGTAATATAGCCTTGTGGTAATGCTAGCATCTTACAAGCCTTTTCTTTTTCAAAGTTTTCTTCAAAGAGAACGATAGCAGAGCTTACTGTTTGATTTCTCTTTTTGTTCTGATTTTCCCAGGAAACTCCAATTTGGTATATGCCATTATCCGCAAGAGAAACGTGTTCCATCAGCTGGCTAATCTGCCTACTGATTTGCAGTCTATCCAAAAAGCTTTGCAACGCAAAAAAAAAGCCCCTGAACCCATATCTCGCACCAATTCTCAAGAAGGGATGTCAATGGAAGGGTCACGACCCGCAGCACCTGCTGAGCCCGGGACGCTGAAGGCTAGCCTAGTCGCAACTCCAGGTCAGTCTGCCCTGTTCATGATACTGAAGATGAAATGAATGGCTAATTTGATTCAAGATGGTAAATCTCACATCTCCCCTGGATGAACAAAGACCAGGCTAGATGTTTCACAGGAATGACAAGTCCATTATATGAAATGCCAAATACCTCGTTTCCCGAGGAAACTTGAAAAAATGGAAGAAAAAAAAACCTAATAAAAAGAGAATAAAAAGATATTTTAAACTATGTTGTGGATCCTTTTCAGCCTTACTTAGGTTCATCCTAATTCTCTTAAAATCCAGGCATTGACAAACTCACTGAGAAATCCCAGGTATCAGAGGATGGGACAATGCGCTCGCTGGAGCCAGAGTCTTCACAGTCTCCAGCAGAAGGCAGCCCCCCTGGTATTATCAGCGATACCGAATCATGGAGTGGGGTAAGGCTGCTATTGTAGGCTGTATTGTAGAGGAAGCAACTGGCAAAACCACTTCTGAGTATCCCTTGGCCTAAGAAACCCTATGAAATTAACGAAGACACCAAAAGTAAATAGATAGCTTGAAGTCCCATATGCAAACACACAGGACTGTGTGGTATTCTTAAGCAGGAATGGCCAATTAATTTCACTTTGCGTGATATTTGAATTTTAAGAAGCACAACTTAGTTTCATCCCTTTTCTCCATCAGCATGCAAACTTAACAACTCTGTGTGTACACATTTTTGTATACAATTTTTCCTAATAACCATTTTGAAACACTTTTCTCCTAATGCATACCTTTTTTGTATTCAGCCCTGCTGTTGTATACATTCTCCAATGTACATGCATTTTTGCTTAGAGAACTGTGTTAAGTAATGGTGAACTAAGAAAAACATGAAAAAAATGTTCTAGTTTGCAAATTAGTTAGGAAAGTACCGATTAATTACAGATCCCGTTAAAATGCAAACTAAATGAATTCTACTTCATCTCTGCTTTTCAGCATTGAGTTGTTGAGAATGCAAATTTTGAACAATTCAGAGCAGTATTTATCTATATTTGATCCAGATAAGCAGCATAAATATTCTTTTGGAATAGACATCTTGTGAGTGTTGTTAAAGATTTATTATATTTGTTAGGACCTCTGGCTCTATCAAGATTGAAGGTATGGATGCTTTATTGGGATCTCAATATAGAATATCATCAGGGTGGTGACTCATGTAGAAAATGTAATGGCTGAAAGTCTCTTAGTAATATAGTTGTATGTAAGTCATAAACAAATAATGATAATAATAATAATAATAATAATAATAATAATAATAATGATGACAACTTTATTTTATGTACCCTGCCTCTATCTCCCCTAAGGGACTTGGGACGGCTTACAAAGGGACAAGCCCAGGGAACACAAAGTTAAAAATATAACACAATAAAATAGCATGAAAACAAAACCAAATAAAAACATATCAGAATAAAACATAACATCATAAAAGCAGTACCATACAGAACGATAAAAGCACTGAGTTCAGAGGGCTCTGGGTTTGTGCAAATTCTTAGATAGAGCTAAGGGAAAGTGCGAAGGCAGGGCTGGGAGGATAATGTTCATGGGCATTAAAATGTCAGGATTGTAGAGCGAAGGGCCATGATAAAGTGCTGAAACTTAGGTAACATTGGGCCAATTCTTTGGAACCGCCTAGTCAAAGGCACAGCAGAACATCCATGTTTTTAGGTTCTTGCGGAAAGTGGACAGGGTAGGTGCCAGTCTAATCTCCCTAGGAAGAGAGTTCCAGAGTCAGGGGGCCACCACCGAGAAAGAACATTGCTAGAATTACTGTAATGTAAAAATATTATATTGGAGGAATAAAGAACAATTCTAATATTTTCCTTCTTATCTGGGTCCCTAGGATGTACTGCTTACATGTACTGTACTTACCTTATAATTTGACTATGAACTAAATCATATTTGAAACTTTTGCCTGACAGTGGAGTGTATTGAGCAAGGTAAGCCATGTGAATGTGCCCTCTCTTTAGGAATCATCCCAGCCCAAAAGGGATCGACGACGCCTGTCCGGCGCATCCTCAGCCGGACAGTGGAATCCAACTCCTGACTGGGTAAGAGAAACTGGAGTGGCTTCTTAATGATTACCCATCTTGATGTTGATTGCTTTTAGCCATGTTCATATTTAGTTCATTAACAAAGATGGTAGAGAAGAGAGCCATGGGGAGGAAATAGACATAATAGTGAACCATAATGTAATATGAAAAGTGTAACACCTTTTGAATGTCCTGTGCTTTATCTCTCTTCTGAGGCTGCTGTGGCAGAAGCATACCCTTTTCAGTTTTGAAGCATACACATATTTTTCTTTACTCTATTATATATGCTGCTGCACGAAGCTCTAACATCTGTGGCCTTTGGGTTTATTTCTGCATACTACTTAACTAACCAGAAATAACCCCAGTTCAGATTACGTTGAATCATTACAGTTAGAAAGCTGGGTCAAAACTAACTACACTTTGGCAGAAAAAATGAAATGCAAAGATACAGAATAATAATAATAATTGTTATTTATATTCTGTTCTATCTCCCCAAAGGGACTCAGGGCGGATTCCAAACATAAAAGGCAAATATTCAATACCCAATACAACAACAATACATCCATGCTAACAAAATTTATATGATTCTATGAGTGCAAGAAAAGATTGTAGTTTTGGAGATCAGAATTGAACAATCCTACATGATGTTTTATGCCAGATTGATAAGATTGTTATGTGCTCATTCTAAAGGATTTCTTCCTGTTTCTGTTTTCCTTGAAGGAAGAAAGCAAAGGGGTTGCAGGAGCTTTTCTAAAAGGTCACACTCAGACTAGAAGCCTAGCATGCACAAACTTTGTTACCAGATTTCTTATATATCAAATAGAATGCTGGTATTAATAGAGTCTCTCTGTGTTATCTTTGAGGCAGTAATTGCGTTTAATAGATTTTTAAAAATGAATTGGAAACAGTTTCCTTTGACTGCAGGTATATGTGGGTATTCATGTACTGAAATACTAGATGCAAATCTCTTGTTTCTCCTGAGATTCCTGACAAATGTATTGCTTCATGTGCAAGGCTATTTATACAAGAGCCACCTAATTCTCAATTACTTTGTTCTGTATATCAGATTGTTTTATGCTGCCTGAGTTGTTCAAGGTCACTCATCTTATCTACTACTCTTTTCTTTTGCAGGTAGTATCATGGAAATCAAAGCTGCCTTTGCAGACAATCATGAGGCTATTACAAGTCTTGGTCCCCCAGGTAGAGAAGATATGCATTGACAAGTAAGTGGTATGGAGTTTGTGAATAACCTAACAACTTTTGAAAGTTGTTAGGTAATAATGGATTTCCTTATTAGGATTCTAGAGATCACATTTCTCTAGAGCAGTGTTTCTCAAACTGTGCTCCTCATCTCCCAGAAATCCCAGCCAGCTTACCATATGTTAGGAATTATGGGAGCTGAAGTCCAAAACATCAGAAGGAGCACAGTTTGATAAACCCGGCTCTAGAGTATAAAGGGACAGATATTTATCTATTCTCATTATTTCAGAAGATGGAGCATTTACAGCTCGCCTTATCAAAAATTTGAACATGGACAACGTAACATTTGGCAGCACATTGGGAGCTTAATAATAATAATAAAACTTTATTTATACTCCACCACCATCTCCCCAAAGGAACTTGAGGCGACTCACAAAAGCACTCAGTAGTGCAAACACACAAAATACAACAAGTGCATAACAATAGCATAATAGCAATAACATACACTTGGTGTCTTCGGACATTAAGATCTTCTGGGGAGGCCCCACTCTCAATTCTACCTCCCGCACAAGCATGACTGGTGGGGACAAGAGACAGGGTCTTCTCAGTGATGGCCCCTTGGCTATGGAACTCCTTCCCTAGTGAATTTAGAGCAGTCCCCTCCCTCCTGATATTCAGGAAGAAAGTAAAAACGTGGTTATGTGACCAAGCTTCTGGACAGCAAAGTTCTTAGTGCAGTAAGAGAATAAGGAATAGTGAACAAACCACAGAACGAGTACGGAATTGATTTTGGATGACGTGATTTTAATAACTGTCTTTAAATTGTGTTTTTAAGGGTGGGTTTTAATATAAATGTTATTGTATTATTGATGTTTAATTTTATGCTTTATATCTAAATGTTATTTTATATTTATGTTTTAATTTGGTTAGGTTTTTAATTTATATGTTATTGTCTAGTTATGATTTGGTTTTCACATGTATGTATGGTATTGAATTTTGCCTTTATAGTGTTGGAAACCACTTTGAGTTCTGTCAGGGGGAGAAAAGCAGTATATAAATGTAATAAATAAACAAACAAACAAACAAACAAACAAACTGGTTCCAATTAGAAATGACACAGGGCTGTAATGGAGCTGTCAGGTGTGCTGCATTCTTTGACATCCCTGGTGGTGTCACTGTCTTTGCTGCTGCACTATGTCTGTTTTAATATGACTTACTGTATAAGCTTTACAAGGCCTCACATGAAGCTCCTATTAAAAATAGATCTGCAAGGGAGGCTTTAATAAGCCTCTTCAGCTTCTCACTTCTGCTTTGTGAAGTGGCCTCAACACCTTGAGGGTTGCTCCCCACCCTTGATTCACTGCACAAGATTGTGTATATTTGAATAAGTAGTTGGTTGAATTTGCAGATTGTGAGCCTGCGGATGAGGTGGTCTCATTGAAAGTAACCAAAATAGTTAGAGATGCATCCAGTCTTGAAATTTGCAGTGGTGTTCTTTGTGGACTGCATGTAGAAATGTTCAGGGGCTCTAGTAAGGAAGATAGAAGTCCCAAACCCTCCCTTGAGAATTTTTCCATCAATTGCATTTGTCTCAAATTATGAGCAAGGACATCTTCTGATTGCTATAATATTAGCAATTTATAGGTGTTTCTGTGAAGATTTTCCAAACGGAGCTGCTTCTTACACAAGGAACTTTATCTTTTCCCACCCCAATTTTCTGTAAAACCATTTCAAGTAGGGGTCGCAGAGCTCACTCAGAATCTTTGCTTTTCTGTTTCTTGCACCAGTGGCCTAGTGGGGATCAAGTGCGGTTTTTGGGAACATGTTCCTCACAGATAAGTCTTCATTTAGTGTGGCCTCATTTGCTTAGAGATACTTCAGAAAGTAGCTATTTAGAACTCCAATACTGTACAAATAAAATGCGGTGATGAATTCATCTTATGCTGAAACCTTTCATATATAATACATAATGTAATAGTTTAATATTATTGCTAGAAATCATATACTCAAAGCAATTAATGAGTTAATAAACATCAGTAGCATGCTTCCATCAATATTAGTAAATGCATTCTCTAATGAACCAACCTCTGTTAACAGTTGACAGCAGACCTTTTTCTTAATCACCAATAAATATTTTGGGACAAAACATTCCTTGGAGCCAACAACATCTAGACATGTAGAAATGAGGAAAGGAGGGACATATTTCCCCTTTAAAATTAATATATAATTACAGTAAGCCCTCTTTTTCATGTCAACTGTAGACTAAATAGGGGCCTCTGTGGTTGCTTCTCACAAAAACCAAAATTACATTAAAAGCTCAGCTCCATTGTACATTCTAGCTTATCCCTCTATTTGTTGTACTGTCCAGCTGACACGTTCCTTCTGTTTTTGGAAAGAAAAGAATAGATTCTTGTTGGTACATTCTTTAGGAATTCCTGAGAATTTGAGAGTCACTGATGACTTTTCTTTTGAACCGTATCCATTCCTTATGGATGTACATGCATTCATTATTTTCTGTTGGATCATCAGAGACAGTTTAAGGTGTGGGTCCATGTGTTCCCTCTGTCTGCAGGGGCCTCACAGATGAATCTGAGATTCTGAAGTTCTTGCAGCACGGCACATTGGTGGGTCTGCTTCCTGTTCCTCATCCTATCCTGATTCGCAAATACCAGGCCAACTCTGGTACTGCTATGTGGTTCCGTACCTATATGTGGGGAGTTATTTATTTGAGGTAAGTTGGCTGGATACAGTCCTGCTCTCCCCCTTGTGTTACTTACATTGCTAAGTGAGGAATTCCAGAGAGTCAATCCGCTGTAATATCAGTTTGGCTGCTATGGAAAAAAGTGCTAATTAGAGCTTGGATCTCCTCTGACAGGGCTTTTCTTCTGATCTTATAATAATTGTTTCAGGGCAACTTGCATGTACCACATTTTTGTGTGTGTGTCAGGAGCGACTTGAGAAACTGCAAGTTGCTTCTGGTTTGAGAGAATTGGCTCTCTGCAAGGACGTTGCCCAGGAGATAGCCGGATGTTTTGATGTTTTACCATACTTGTGGGAGGCTTCCCTCATGTCCCCACATGGGGAGCTGGAGCTGACAGAGGGAGCTCATCTGTGCTCTCCCGATTTGAACTTTTGACTTGTCGATTTGAAGAGATTAAACAACATGGAGGGGTGGAGGGACAAGCTCAGAAGAGGCTTTTTGGAAACCTTAAACATAATAAAAATGAACCCATGGCCTCTCAAATTATTTGGGGGCAGCTGTTTTGTGGGGCTAATGCATTCCCCTAACCCTCTGGTGTTGCCCACCCCTGTCCTTTCAAATTCCCCAGTAGTAAAACGAATACCTGTTTCTTTTCAGGAATGTGGATCCTCCCATCTGGTATGACACAGATGTGAAGCTGTTTGAAATTCAGCGAGTTTAAAGAGTGGGAAGAGAGTGGGCACCTTGCCTCTGTTCAAGGAAAACACTGGAAGCAAGGGTCCTGCTGAGCGCTTCTTCATCACAGCTCTTCCTTCATTTCACTGCCTGCTGAGTTATCCAAAGGACAATCACTTCCATTTACTGACCTGCCACTTTAAAAGCTGAGAGTCTCACCCTAGCCATTTTTTTTCTGCCACCCAAGGGACATTGGTGGAAGTGTATACAAGGAAAGGCAGCCTGAGTGGTTGCACCAAAAGCCGGACTGTCTCTCACCAAGTCCTCCTTGGCCTTTTGCCTGCAGTTCTGAATCTAACTACTTAAGAGTTGAATCTTTCAATTTCCCAGTCAGATTCAGCCTTGAAATTTAAAAGACGTTGAATGTAAAAGTTATAAAAGTAGACCAATGAAAAAGAAGCACTACTGTAGGAGGTTCCTCTGTGGTTCTTTTCCAAAGAATGTGTCCTAACACCTCTCCATGTTGCAGCTCCCCCTTGCTGCTGTCTTGCTTTACTGCACCTAAGGAGGTTGGGATAATAGCTTCATTTACTAAGTGTGTGTGGCATTCTATTTATTTAAGTCATTTCAGGTCAGTCTTGTAGGTTTGCTCTTCCTCTCCCTACCACTGAAAATCTGCTTAACTACTTTGTATCAATACTGTAATGTGGCAACCAAATTTTCCTTCCTTCCTTCCTTCCTTCCTTCCTTCCTTCCTTCCTTCCTTCCTTGCTTGCTTGCTTGCTTGCTTGCTTGCTTGCTTGCTTGCTTGCTTGCCTTGGAGGTGCTTCTTTTAAAGACGGATCTGTGTCAGTGTATCATGTATTTTCAAAGTTGCATTTATGCTGGGAAATGTTGTTGGAAAAGATATTCTCATGTGGGATGCTTCAAGGAGGTTGTGTATTTTTCAGGAATTACAGAAAAAAACCCCACAATTGTATTGAAAAATAATAGGACAGATATGGGCTGGAATAGATTGCTGGAATAGAATTTTTTTTCTTTTATGACATTGCATAGTGTGGTTCATATTACTTATGGTTTACTGTAACAGATTAAATGCAAGACATATCTGGGAATTTCCCACTAGCAGGGTGCATGAGGGATTGGTTAAGGCTGATCAACAGAATTTATGTCTTAGAGTATAAGCCTAAAATAATTGTATTTATGTTATGCAAACCAGCATTGCTTTGCAAATATGGGTCACGGGTTAATTATTTGCTTAGTCAACATATCTTTATCCCCCCCCCCCCCCCAGATGGTTCTGAAAAGATTCAAGGCCCACAGTTTAGAATCACATGCTATCCTTGTTTATCACAGAAGAGGGAAAGTTTGTTCTGCACATGTCACAATACTGCTAGTTTTTATCTTTTAACTAGTGATTTTGAGATCTCAAAGACAACTTGTTTTATAGCCTTATTGGTTCTCTTCAAAAAATTGCCACCCTTTAATCTGAAGCTAAACAATATTAGCTGTTATTATAAAAAAACTTCTTAAGTTGGTCTGGTAAATTTAATATCGGTGCAGGTTTTTTTTTTGTTTTGTTCAGGAGCAGAATATCTATTTTATATTACTGAAAAACTGGGCAGATTATAGACACCTAGGGCAAAATCCAGCTAGTGATTAAAGTGAAAGAATAGACCAAAAGGCCTATTCTTCGTGTCCCCTATTTGTTTTGAAAATCTTAGATATCCCATTTCTGTTACTTATACAATTCATTGTATTTGTTTTATCTTTCATCCCAAGGAGCATTTTGAAGTCTGCATGTTTTTTGGGATGCCTTGGGTCTTTCAAATGTGATTTGGTAGTGGGGATCTGTATACTTCATGGTGGGGGAAGGCTCTTTTGATTCACCACTGATCCACTGTTTCCTCTCTCTCACACATACTCTGTGACCTTCTCTACCTCCTTAGTTGGATTTTATTTTTCATGGTAATTTAACTTGACTTCTGCATTCTTTGGTGTTGCAGGTCTGCTCTTCATTCAGTGAAAAATCAGAATTGCACTGTAAACTGTTTGCTTTACACATAGAGATAAAATTATCGAAACACTGCAACTGGCTTCGCTCTCTCTGTGTCATAAGCGTTTTATGAGTTTGTTTGTACTATTGTTTGATTTATGATGCCCTGGCATCCTTTACAACATGTACCTTTCCACTGAAGGCATGGCTGCACAGGCACTCTTGGTCCCATGATATTCTGCTGAATTGGAAATGGCACTCAGAATTAAACATAGTGCTGCTGGGCATGAAATTTGCAGAACAAGTGAACTTGCCAAGCATTGTAGAGGTGTTGACATTGACTCACAAGATGTGTTAATCAAAGAACATCTGTTTTCTATCTTTACAATTGGAAGAGTATTCTCAATCTTAACCTTAGAGACTGGTTAAACTGCTACAATTACTATGTTTGACCTTGGCAATGGAGCTGCTGTGGCGCAATGGGTTAAACCCTTGTGCTGGCTGGACTGCTGACCAGAAAATTGGATTGCTGACCTGAAGGTTGCCGATTTGAATCCGCAAGATGGAGTGAGCTCCTGTCTGTCAGCTCTAACTGGCGGGGACATGAGAGAAGCCTCTCAGCAGGATGGGAACACATCAAGGTATCCCTGGGCAATGTCTCTGTAGATGGCCAATTCCCTCACACCAGAAGCGACTTGCAGTATGTTCTCAAGTAACTTCTGATTCGATAAAATAAATAAATAAAAGCTTGGCTGTGAGACTACTCTCCTTGCAGATACAACGTTCTTCATTCTTTGATTTTTAATTTAGAAATCAAGTTCCTTTGATGGGATACTGCACTTCAGCCCATGAGAAATGGGTTAATATATAACTTTAAAGAGTACTAATTTATCCAACTCATATTTCTCCTGTCAGTTCCTGTTGACACAAGGCTGAGTAGAATTAACACAGATGCAAAGTCCAAACTCATAAGACATTTTGTCTTTTGAATTTGAGAGATTTAGTTGCAGTGCTGCTACTGCTGGACACTGGTTCCTGGAATTGGGAGCCTGGGTAAGCCTCTTGCCCCCCTCCCCCCTTGCTTTTGAAAAAAAAAAAAAGATAAGCGCCCTGAGAATAAATACCAAGCCCAGACTTTAACCTAATAGCTCTAAGAGGTGATTTATGTAGCAGTAGAGCAATAAAACAAGAAGTGTTTACACTTCCATATATTAGCCTTCAGCAAGAAGAATTCAGATAATGCAAAGAGTGAAATTGATTACGGAGCTTTTAATCCCTTCATTTAATCAATAACTTGACTGAGTTAAGACCTACTGCAATTTCAAGTGGTAGCTTTCCATTGTTTCTCTTGCCTTTGCTGTGTCCTGAATCCAGGGTAAAACAGTGACACCACCCCATAAAATAAAAACAGCTTACCAGCCACATTTTGTTGAAATACTTGGAGGTTATCAAGGTTTACCACAGCTCTGTTCTTTGCAGTGCAGTAATTCTGGTTAGACCCCTCTTAAATCTGTGTGTTCTTAGTCCTGTATGTGTTGCTAGGCTGGTTTTGAGCATCGCAAAACCTGAATTATTCCACAGAGGTCCACCCTAACATACGGTATACATTGCACAGTCACAAATGGAATATTTGGCACTTATGAAAGAAGCAACTATTATTCTTTGCTGTTTTCAATATCTTGTGTGTATGAAGTGGTAACCATACCAGTCCAAAGCCATTTCACTTCAAGGATGTAACATGGCAAAATGGAAAATGGAAAGGGAAGGAATGACTATCACAGGATTAAACCTTCTTGATAATTACCAATTTTGTTTTGTGTCAAATATGTACTAAAGTGTCCTGAAGGATAAAATGCTAGAGAGCCTTGTGGCTGAAGGATGAGTTATATAACTATTCCAAATAAATAACTAAAAGTATCTCCAGAGCTAGCATGTCTTATCACAGGTACATATTGCATGCCCAAATAATGTATTGATGGCTTTTTAGTAATAGGAGAGTATAATACCTATTTCAAAATATATGACAAATGTCCCTAATAAGAGCAGCCTATTTTTTCAATATTTATTTGATAGTTTACATCCCAAATGATTGATATATCCATGGTGGGTGATAGTTTTTCCCAAGAGGAAACATTGCTAGCTCAGTTTCCACATTTTCTAAGCTTGATATTAGCACTATACTGTATGTCTAAGGTTAGTAATTGTTTGGCATCACTAATCATAATGGACATGAAATGAGGCACTTTATAATAACATGCTGTGGATGTGTTTCCACTGGACAATGGTCCACTTATCAAGGAATTGATTATTCCTCCCTTCTGCCGCACTGTAATAAAGCGTCCAAGACCATAGCTCTCCTTTATTCATATGGAACCTTCATAATAGTGCAATGCAACCATGATTTCCCTAATCTTTTCACTGCTGTTTTTATTCTGCGGACACTATCAGAAGGTTTGGATTTGCTTCAGGCAGACCGATACACCTCCAGAAGGCCACCAACAGAATGCATCCTGTAAAACACACCCAAAGGTAGTCCAAAATTGACGATAGCAAACCAGGTGGAATAGCCATAAAATGATTGCTCTAATCCATTCTCAAATTCTGGATGTGCTCCAAATGATGGTATGATCCACAGCTGGAAAGCAAAGCAAAAAGAAAACTGGAATCAGAGGAACCAAGTTTTAGCTGGGTTGGTACGCTGTGGCTTACTACCATTTGTATTGTTTCATCTTAATTTACCACAGACCACCTATTACAATGCAACCTGAGCCCTGCCACATGCACAATGGAGGACCTTCTTATAGCAACACCAGAGATACTCCAAGTGGCCAGCTACAGGTCAAAGGACATTTATTAGAATGGCAAGTTTGCAAACGTTGTGGGTTTTTTGTTTCTTTTTAAATACAATACAACTGTTTGGTTCACTCCTGGTATGATAAATAAATAAATCTTAATTTAAGTCCTCCCTTTCTAGGTGCCCCATCAGGCTAAAAAGCATGACAAATCTGGTTGCTTGTATCACACATTTGCTGCTGCACTTACTGCTGCCAGTATCTCCAGATGTGCAAGTATTCTATAGAATCTATCTCCACTTCCTATATTAATTATTACAGATTGAGCTAGTTTTATCTGGAAGTCTGAAATCTGAAATACTTCATAATCCAAAATTGTACGCATGGGTAAATAAGATAATGACACATTTGCTTTCTGATATTTCAATATATACAAACCTTGTTTAATGCATAAGATTAATAACAATATTTATAAATTACCTTCACACTATGTGTATAAAATGTATATGAAACAAATTGACTAAACTCTCAGGTGTCCCATTATATATGTGTATGCAAAATCTGCAAAAATCCAGAATCCAAAGCACTCTTGGTCCTAAGCATTTTGCATACGAGATTTTTTATTTTATTTACATAATTTTTATCCCACCCATTTCAGCCCGAAGGCGACTCAATATGTATGATATTTGTCCAGTACTGATGAAGATACTTGAAAGTTTGAGTGTGGTAATACAACAGATTATCCCCAGTTTTGTCCTCTAGAGGCATGGGCAAACTTCGACCCTCCAGGTGTTTTGAACTTCAGCTCCCACAATTCCTAACAGCCGGTAAGCTGGCTGGAATTTCTGGGAATTAAAGTCCAAAACAGCTGGAGGGCTGCAGTTTGCCCATGCCTACTGTAGAGTTGCTGCAATCATGTACTTACTATGATGTTGCACATGGTTAAGAAACTGGAGATTTCCTTCAGAGCTTTCCTTTTCCAGTTCAGGTGGCTGTACGTTTGGATATATGTCTGTGAGACTCTCCGGATTCCTTGTCTTATCTCTATATCTTCACACTTCTCCTTTTCATCTTTCTCTTTCTCCTCCTTGGTTGTGGATGAGGCAGGTTCTTGAGGGTCTTTGGGTGGGCTCAGGGTTGAACCAGAGTCTTGTGTGGGATGGGCTGGATGGCTTTGACCTTCAGTCACCTGCAGTGGCTGCCTGTGGAGCCCCTCAACAATGAAGATGTTCTGGGTGATGCACTGAATGATGAGGCTCACTGAATAGGCCACCATGATGCTGTTCAACAAACCTCTTGGATTGGTGGCAACAATGGCTACAATAGAAAAGTAACTGATGCCAATGTGGCCTAAGGCTGTCCCCATAAGTAAGATCACATCAAGGCTTCGCGTTGGATTTTTCAGTGTGTCCAACTCCCTCTCTTCTAAGCCATGGATGATGGTTCCAACTAAAGCCCCTACTGTCATCACAGGCAACAGAACGATGTGGTAGGAATAATAGAGTATGAATGCTTGATGGCTAGGAGAGGAACCAGTGGCTTCAATCTGATACATCATAAAAGTACAGCTGCCAATGATGATTGCAGATATGCCAAGCAGAGGCCCAAAAATGACTCCATTGACCTTGAACCTTGGCTTGACATGGGCAGAATGGTGCTGAGCCATGTGCCGACCTACATTCTTCCACATGACATAGAGCATGGAGCAGCAGATCAAGCAGTATTCGGTGTTAAAAGGGTAGAGCAAAATGTAGCCTTTCTGGAAGACCGTGCAGGCAGTTGAGTTTGAGCATTTGCAGGAAATTGTCCCATTGCCTGCATCAAGATTTGGGGAAATGGCAGGATAAAATAAAAAGGCTTAAGAGTGGTTTCCAGCAGAAAGATTTCTTCAGAATCTACTGCCTAAAGTTCAGAGATACCAGTGCTCTGTCTGTGTAAGACAGATTCCCTCTGTCAGTGTTGGTACTAGTTTCATCTTGGAATGTGCGAGAATCTACTCTTACTATCGACCCTTTCACCCTACGCAGTTATAATGCTATGATGCCATGGGTGCCTCCTGTGGACTCCTGGGGTGTGTGGGTTGGTATTTGGTGAGTCAGTAGACCTCTTTGATAATCTGAAATACCATTCTCTTCTCTGTCATTCCCAGGAGTACATAGGATGCCTCCATGTCAGGCCAAATGTATTTATAGTGCTGTAATTGTGTAGGTGTGAATAAACACCATGATTCTTCATGACTTTTGCTTTGGGTGTTTTGCAGTTTCATCTCTGCCTAAACACCGAAAGTAACTCATTCAATTGTTTGATTACATTGTTTACAAATTGGCACAATGGAGGAAGTGGGGCAGATGTAGAGACATCCTACCCCAATTAGATGCCATTTGCAAATGTGACAAGTATGCCCTCTATCCATCATGCAAGTAATGTTTAAAAGAAAAGATTTCCCAATTTTTCTATGGACCAATCAGGGCACTTTGCTGTACTCTCCCTACCACTACTTCTGCATACTAAGATATGTGTCTGGAACCCTGTCTGTTGACTTTCACCCCTTTAATCATTCAAGACCATGAGAAAAAGGTCCCCAAGAATTTGTACAGTGTTCCCTCGCTTTTAGTGGACTCACTGTTTGCGGGTTTTTGAAAATATTAATAAAAATATACAATATTAAATATTTATGTCCAGTGGAAGCCAGTGAGGCCAGAGACCCCGGAAGTGTGGTGTCCTGAGGCACAGCGGGGAAGGCCTGCCTCTCTGGCCTCCACAGACCCTGGAAGTGCGGCAGCCTGAGGCACGGCAAGGCTATCTGCGTGGCTCTGGAGGCTCTGTGGAGACCAGGAAGGCAGGGAGGTGCCTTTGGGGTGGGCCGGGAAGTGAGTAAGGAAGCATAGGTAAGAAAATAATATATAATATATAAAAATAATGTATAAATACTAAAATTAATATGGTGTTCCTACTTCGCAGATTTTCACTTTTTGCGGGTGGTCCTGGAACGGAACCCCCGCAATAAATGAGGGAATACTGTATTGCTTATGTTTGGAGAAGGCAGGACAGGGAGCAGAAAAACAATCAACTAATCTAAGGTTAGATTTCATAACTAACTAATTAACATCTTATTGTGAGTGATGTCTTCACAAAAACATGTTTTCTGTGTGGAAATATGTATAGCTTCTATATGTTATCTATTTTACTTGTCTATTTCCCCACGTTATTCTTGAGGAGATGAAGGATGATCCTTGCCTTCAGATTCTTGTATGGTTTGGCTGAGTTCTGATTCAATTTCTCTGTGAATGGAATCGTTGGTCACTGCTAACAGCCACAGAAGAAGGTTAGTAGCCAAGGTTAACATTAGTCCACATCTGTTAAAAAAGAAGCATTGCTGTCATCTTTGCCATTTGCCATAACAATTATATAACTTTGTAGGTCTTTGGAAATGGCTGAAAGATATGAAATTTCCCCCTCTATAATAAAACTGTGTACTGATATAATATGTGGGGCTATGCATAAGATTTTGTGATGGGTTTATGTGGTTTTATCGGTATACAGTGGCTTGGGACCATAAAGTGAAAGGTTAGCTATAAATATAGAAGATAAAGGAAGAAATAATGATAACAATTCTAGTTTGAAAAGGTGCAGGGTAAGCTTTTAAAATGGGAGACAGTGTGGGACATTAAACAGGATTTCGATTGTTCATTATGTTTTGAAGTGGTGGTCTCTGCTCCTCTGTAAAATTTTAATATAATTGGAAACAGTATTTGAATTTCAAGTATTTTGACTATATGTCAAATGTAATATAAAGTTACATTGGAATTATACTACCTCTAGAAGTGGGGATGTGATATTGTTTCCTTTATAATCAGGTGTGTTCTTGCTGAGATATTGATAGGGAACTAGATGTCACGGGCAGGATGTCAGATAAGTATAGGAATCTACTCCAGAAGGAACACGTTATAAGAAGACTCTCAAAGGGGTTGATAACTTATTGAAGGGAGATTGACCAAGAAAGTAAAGGGTTTGGAAAGCCCTGGTATGGGTTGAGGTATGTTTGAGGAAACTAATAGAGGGGTGTTGTGACAAGATCTTCAAAGATCTGAAGGGCTGTCAAATAAAATCATAGAGCTGGAAGAGACCTCGTGGGCCATCCAGTCCAACCCCCTGCCAAGAAGCAGGAAAATTGCATTCAAACCACCCCTGACAGATGGCCATCCAGCCTCTGCTTAAAAGCCTCCAGAGAATGAGCCTTTGGAGCAAGCTTGTTTCTATTGCTCCAGGGGCAAGACCTCAAAGGACCAAACCTACTCTGATCTCAGGGTGATATAAGTATTTGCAGAGAAGGCTCAAATGCTTCCTTGATTGCTTATATGAAAGTTTGGGTCAAAAGCTTGTCTCAATCTTGTAAACCAACTCTTACTCTGTCCCAAGGTAAAATGAACCTTACCCTTAGCAAGATAGGGGTTCTATAATTGCATGTTTTTCGTATCTGTTTCTGAATCTCTGATAAGGAGTGTGTGCTGCTCATGTTACTTCTGGAGAGAAAGAAGGCTCCTTCTGTCTGCTTTCTCCTTTGTCCACCCTAGGATACATTCCTTTGCTTTCAGAAAGGAAGTAGTGTTAACAGGTGAACTGGGGATTCAGACTCTTGAAAGCTGTACAAAGGATTGTACAAAGGATTTTGTGGGAAGTCTTACTGAATTTTATGATAATCACAGCAATTTGTATGCATTTCTACTGTTACTATTAAAATCACATAGGTCTCCCCTGGAAGGCTGTCCTGTGGATATAATGGGCTTATCTGATCCCCTCCTCTTGGAAACTTAAGTGAACAACCATCACAGCAGAACTTCTTCCAAGGTGGCTCCCCAGAGAGACCTGACTGCCTTCCACCCTGTTTCATGCTTTCAGGAGACCATTGAGTCTCTTCTGTTTAGGATGGGTCAGTTAGGTTGCGATCAGCTACTACATAAGCATGAGGTAGTTTACTGTTCTATCTGGGTCTTCAGTCATTATTTTAGTTTTGTTTTACACAATTATAAAAATGATATTTGTAATATATATTTGCATTAATGTTGCTGCTGCTGGCTGTGCTCGATGAAGAATTCTAAGAGCCATAGTTCAAAGAATTAACCTGTGCATGCTTTGGATAGAAGGGCAGTAGAAATGTCTTCTATACAGGAACTAATAGAGAACATTGGGAACTGGTGTGTGTGTGTCTATTCATACATTGATGTAACCCAAGCTGAGCAACATAAAGACTTTATTTTGACATTTTCTCAGGTTATCTTCATCCACTTAAATAATTACAGGAAAAAACATGTTCAATGAAGGGTAAAGTGTAGCCCATAATTCTCACTGCTGTGCTAATGGTGAGTATAGATTTTGATGCAGCTTCTCCTACCTGGTGAGGTTGTGCTGAACTTGAATACAATCCTTTGCATGGCACCATATAAAGTAAGTCTGAAATCAATGTAAAGGATAAAATGAATGTGGTGTTAAGTTTGCAAACAGTCTTGTGTAATAAATGCACACTATGTGTTGAAATGGAAATAATTAAGTAAGTTGCACTCTTGGTCAAGGAATAGTTTGGCGATATAATAGCTCAAATGCATATCCCAGATTCTTTGAGCCAGTTCTGTGCTCAGATACAAAGACCTGAATACAAAATACAGTGAGCTCTTAGTATACACTAAGGTTTGTGCCCAGCACCCCCTGTGGATATCAAGTCCCATTATATACACTGGTGGAATAAAATAGTGTTCCCCATATAAAAAGGCAAAATCATAGTTTGCTTTTTGGATTTTTTTTCTTGGAGAGACATTTTGAAGCTGTGGATAGTTGGCTCCATGGATGCAGAATCTATGAATAAGGAATAATTAGATACAGCCGAACAACAATTTTGAATGTTGCATATATGTATAGAAGCAAAAATTTTGCTCTCTCTCCATATGCTATTTTGTTTGGATCAACCATGGTGTATTCCATCTTCTCCTTCCCTGCTCAAAAGCCTATGCCTACTGATCAGCACACTTATGGGAGGAGTCTTCCTTGTGCCAGCAAGCAATAAGTAAAATGAGAAAGAAAGAACTGTGAGAAAAAAAAAATAGGCTGTTTTTTTTTCTCCTGCAAAGACCATTTTAAGTGGGAGCCTGGAAGTCCTCTGCCAGTTAATTTCCATTAGTCAAAATAGGAGAAGCCTGAATCCTATTGTTTGTTCAAAAAGGCGTAGATCCTTTGGATCAGTTGAATTCCCCTGTGGGTTGATTTTTGTACAACAATGAGCTTTCATACTACATACTTATAGTGGTTTGATTTCAGTTCATCTGCCATAATTCCATGGAGCACCAAATTCCCAGCCAGTGAGTTCCTCTGGGGCTTTCTGACTGAACTACAAGCTCTTGAGTTCTATAGGATGCAGCCATGGCCGTTCATGGAATCATAATGCTCAGGCATGTAGCCGGTGGTGGTGGTGGTGGTGGTGGGGGGGGGCTTGAGAGGCTTCAGCCCCCCTCGAAATTCTCAGGGTGATCCGCGAGAAGGCTTTACTGGTACATTATTTAAACTGTTATGTTTATTCATATCATGATCTGATCACCATGCTCAATATATCCCATAAGCATTGGGGGTATAGGGATAACGATACAAAAGGTTTGCTAGGGTAGATCCTCACCCCCCCCCGATTCAAACTCAGCCCCCCTGAACCAAACTCAGCCCCCCTCCCGAATCAAAATCCTGGCTACGGGCCTGATAGTGCTATAACTGCACAGTGTGAAAGTGGATTCAGTGGATGTTCTCTAGTAGGAATTAGTTCAGATTAGAGTCTTGATCTGAACTAGTCCTGGCTGTGGCACATGTGAAAACTAAACAAATTATTATAGCATGAGGCTGTGTATAATAATTACACACTGATCTTTGAACTACCCTTTTGTTTGTTGGAGATATCCTATCTCTGATCTTTTCCCTTTCAACATGTGGTAGATAAACATTTGCATGAAACAAAAAGCACAACCTAATACCTGAATGCAGATGAAGAGAATTTCTATGGATGGGAACACAGGTGAGACCTGGGATTTGCAGCGAATGTGAATAATATCATACCCAATCTGGAACATGTTCAGGAGTACACTGCAAGCTCCAAACAAGATTAGAGATCCTGTAGAAATGAATACATTGATCAGCCATATTTTGATAAAAGTAAGCTAATAGCATTGCCTTTTAAAAATGGCAACCTTTAGAAAACTAAACACAGATGAACAGGAAATTGCACCCAAAAGAACAATGATTGTTTCCAGAATCTATAGCATTTGTTAAATTGTGACTGGCTTGTGTCCTATCTGTAGATCTTTATTAGACTTCTAATGATCAAATATCCATTGTTCCTCAACTTATCAGCTTGGCCTGCAGTTAAAATTTTCCCTTAAACTAGATGACAAACAAATCGTTGCGGGACTTAGGAAGGAGAAATAGATGCAAGACTGTTGTTTGTTTTGGTGTCTGTCTTTAAATCAAGAGGAGTGGAGGTGGGGTAACCTGACAATTTTAGTAGATCAGCACTGGGGAACTTGCTAGTTTAGATAACAGTTAAAGGGCTACTGGTTCACTCCAGGTTGGCAGACGTATAGAAGAACTGGGAAATCTTTTCTTTTAAATATTACTTGGATGATGGAATAGAGGGCACATGTGCAGATGACATCTAAATGGGGTAGGATGGGAGTAGCTATTAGCTAATACTTCAGAGGACAAAATCAGAATCCAAAATGGAGAACTGGCCAAAACTAGCAAAATGAATTCCAACAGGGAGAAATGTAAAGTACATTTGAATATAGGATGGGTGACATTGGTCTTGACAACAATAGACAGGAGAGGGCTTGAGGAGTTTTACTAGACCACAAGCTGACCGTGAGTCCACATTGCGATGCAGCTGCTAAAAATTCAATGTGCATCAATAGAAGTAAAATTCCACTCTGTTCTGCTTTGGTCAGGTCTCATTTGGCATAACACTGTTTCAGAGGTGGCCCTAGGTAATTTTCAACGGTAAGCAAACAGTATTTTGGCACCTCCCCCCCCCCAACCAATCATTGATATATATTTTCTGTTTGTCGTGGGAGTTCTGTGTGCCATATTTGGTTCAATTCCATCATTGGTGGAGTTCAGAATGCTCTTTGATTGTAGGTGAACTATACATCCCAGTAATAGTTCACCTTGCCGCATTTGCTCCCTTGCCTGGCCCGCTTTGGGTCCGGAGGCGTGCCTGAAGACCCCGGTGTGTGCACCAAAAGTCACCTCTTCTCCTGACTTTTTCCTCAGCCATTGGGACCGGGAGAGAGAGAGAGACAGACAGAGGTGGAGATGCTCACCTTTCTTGAAGGTAGGCGCAAAAACAAAGGAGGGAGCGGAGGGGCTCTCTCTCTCTCTGTCTCTCTCTCTTGGTCCCAATGGCTGAAGAGAAAGTCAGGAGAAGAGGTGACTTTTGGTGCGCACGCTGGGGTCTTCAGACACGCCTCTGGACCCGAAGCAGGCCAGGCGCGGCCCTCTGCCCCTTGGCCCACCTGCAGATTGGGGAGAGGAGAGGAGGCGGGTGGAGCGCTGGGGGATCGGGAAAGGGAGCCGGTCATGGGGAAGGGATCGAACGCGGAGAACGATTGACCGGCTCTGCTCGTGCACCCGGTGGCTGGGTGGAGCAGGAACGAGAGGGGCTAGGCGAGGCTCAAGGGCCCGGCCCCTTTGGTAAGAGGATCGCCCGGCAGCGAGGCAAGAAAGCCGAGGCTCCCCCGGACTGCTAGGGCTTTTGTGAGCTGAGGGGGCGCTCCTCAAGTGGCGGTCGAGGGGCATTTACAGAGGTGCCTCTGCACCCCTGGCAAAAAAAAGGTGTTCTGCAACTGCTTACTTCACGTAATGGATGAGCCGCCCCTGCACTGTTTCCAGTTCTGGGCATCACAATTCAAGAAGGATCCTGACAAGTTGGCACTGGATATGGAGCTGGGCATGTTTAGACTGGAGAAGGGAAAGTTAAGAGGTGACATATTACCCATGCTTGAATATTACAAAGGATGGCATATTAATAAGAACTTTCCCACAGTAAAATCTTTTTTACAGTGGAATATTGTGTCTTGGAGTGTTGTGGAGTCTCTACCCATGGAGGTTTTAGAAAAAAGGCTGAATGCCCACCTGTCGGGAGTGTTTAGATTGCATGTTTCTGCATGGCAGGGAACTGGACTGGATGGCCCTTGTGATCTCTTCCAATGGGGTTGGATTGGGTGACCCTTCTGGTCACTTCCAGCTCTGTGGTTCTATGAAAATAGATCTTTTAACAAAATATTTTCCATTTTAAAAAGTCGGTTTCTGCACTCCCTTATGCTCCTCCATGTGATTAGATACTCATCATATCTCTTGTGCTTCCATTCAGGATAGTGCATTTAAATATTTGATTAGATAACAGATGAGTTGTGGATCAGCATTAGATAAGAATTGTCTGTATTTCCATAGGTAGCACTGGGAATTACAGGGCTCTTTATAGCTTTGTTGGACAGCAGTATTCTTTACCATTATTTGTGCATTTCATCCATATTGGTTCCCATTTGTGCTTTAATGCACCATATTGCTATAGGAGAAATGGATATGGGAGAGTTGACTGCCCTTTTCTCAAAGTAGGATTTCTTTGCCTTTTTGAAGCTGCATTACACAAATTCAATAGGTGCATATTTTTCTAATTGGGGGAAGCACTGATGGATGTTAAAGCATTATCCTATACATTTCTGTATATTGTACAGTTTTTAAACATGGATTCAAATGGCAAGAAAGATGATTCCACTTAACCATTAAAAACCATTAAAAACAGCTTATTGACACTGTTCATCAGTGAAACATGGTTCCTTGGTGGATTGTCTTTTTGGTTTTCTGGAAATTTTAAAATAGAGGCTCAATGGCCATTTATTGAGAGTGCTTTGATTGTGTGTTTCTGCATGGGAGGGAGTTGGGCTGGATGGCCCCTATGATCTCTTCCCTCTTTGTGATTCTATGATTCATGTCTTGAACACACAATCAGGTTCTGAAAGGATGCTTTTTGGATGTGGTCTGTTTTGTGCTCGCAGAGGCTACCTTGTTGCAAAGAAGATGCAATCCTTACCTTTAACCCAGACTGGCCCTGCATGAGGATCTTGATGCAAGACTGCATAGGCCTTTTGCCTGGTGAAAAGCAAATAGTATGCTATCCAAATCAGAGTCAGGATTTTGAGAATGGACAGGAAAATCCAAACATCATCCACTGTAATGGCCACATGGTTAAAAATCATGCTACAGATGAAAGCACTGCCTAAAAACACCACGTTCATAGCCATTAGTCCTGAGAAAAGCTGGCCTGCTTTCTGGGCTTGTTTGTCCCGGCGGAGGAGGGAAGAGCAGTGCCGCTGGAGCCATGATTTGTCTTGGCGACTCTTCTGGTTCTTCACTTGGCGAGTGTCTGCCTCATCTCTTCTTCCCATTTCAATCTCTTCCTGGGCCCAGTGTCTCTGCCCAGTTCCTTCTTGGCTTTCCATGGCGGAGGGGAACTTTGCCAGTGGTTAGAAAGGAGTGTTAGCTTCTAGTCTGCCTGTCATAGAAAACAAAATCCACATATTGTAAGCTAAAGGTCGGCAACTGGTGAGCCTCTTGAATGGCAACTCCCAGACTTCCTAAACATTGGCTAGGAATGCTGGGAGTTGCTGTCCTATAATCTCTCTGAGGAGAGTTCATGATTCCCACCCCTTATAAGGTTGCCATCTATTTGATATAATCATCCATTCCATGCACCCTGTGGTAGGAGGAGCTCAACCTCCCCCCCCCCCCCTCTGGCCCAAAATAATCAGGCAAAACTGAACCATCAATATGGATGAGGATTCAAACCCTGTTCTCCAGAATTGTAAACCAATGTTCAAATCACAACACTGTTGGCTCTATAAAGCATTTTATTTCCACTCTTCAAAAACATATCCACAGTATAATTTCCAAAATGAATAAACAATTAATATTTAAATAAAAAAACCCAAAGCCGAAAGAAGCAACAGACCACAAAATTATAAAATGATACTGCTGTTCAGTTTATCTGTCCTACTCCCACATTTTATCTACAATTACATAGCTAAAATCTCTAGCTCTTAAAAATCAAGACGGGGTTGTGCCTTTGTAAACATCTCCTGAATAATGTTATCAGTATGTTTGTGAACAAAGAGACTATTGGCAAATGAAAAGGAGACAGTGTTATTTTAATTTACTGTGGGAAAAGGTAGCTCTATTTCAAAATATCACTGCTTCTGGAAATAATATTTTAGAAATAATATTTTCTTGATACAACAAAGTTCTTTTAGACAACATTTCTTGAAATATACTGTGCTAATACCACCTTTCCCTATTCCTTGGAAACCAGTGAGTTGGTCTTGACAGCATATTTTGGCTTATTAAAATGTTAACGTTCAAAGCATTTCTGGCCTTGCCCCTTTCCCCAAATAACAAAATTAATGATGTTAAACATTCAAAGCCACAATGATATTTTTAATGCATGAGTATAACAAGCATAAGTATGATTGGAAGGGTGGCCACTACAGGCAGTGAAAGAGCATGTTCTCCATCATGAATCATTTTTCAAGAACATGTGCTACTTGTTGGATTGTGAATCCTATGAGCCAGCACAGGGGACTGATAGCTCTACAATATCTGGAGTGTCATATTTTCACCATCCCTATAACTGGAAATAAATGTTCAACAGCCTATCATTTCCATGCTTCTTCTGCACCTCAAAGCTTTCCTATGTTTAATGTTTTTCCTCTTTTCACTGTCCATCCACTATGTTTTCCTCTGTGGTCATGGCAAAAGAAAAGCAGCACAAAAAGTCTTCAAAGCCAGTTGAGATTGTTAAGGCTTGCTAGCCTTTTAGAAAAATCCTATTCATGGTATATGCCAATGATTTTTGTGTAGGATTCAAATCAATGAGAATGCTTCAAAAGGTAACTGTGGAGGATCAGGCGCTGTCCCACTCAGAATAACCCCACCCTCCACAAAGACATCATACAGAATTGCACATAAGTTTCAGATCATTTCTTTTTATCTTTTGAGAATTGGCTTTTAACGATTCTAATATGCACCCATTCTTCCGTTATATATACGCTTTCCTCTACTCCAGGGGTCCTCAAACTATGGCCCGTGGGCTGGATCCAGCCTGCCAAGGTCTTTTCCCTGCTCCCCACCCTATCCTGCAGTTGTTTCTTATGCAGTTTCTTCTATAGCTGCTTCATGTAGTTAATCACAAACATCATTGTCAACAGATTTTCTTTTCTTAATTAGAAACTTATCCACTTTAGTAGTAATTACTGCAATTAAATAATCAAACTGTACAAATTATAAAAGTTATTACAATACCAACACTTGAACACCACCCCACTTCTGATGTGATTAAAGCTCTATGGAGGTTTTTAAACATAGGCTGGATGGCCACCAGGGGTGCTTTGATTGTGTATTCTTACCTGACTGAAGGGGGTTGGACTAAAGCCCTTTGGGGGTCCCTTCCAATTTTAGTGAGTATAGAATGCCTGGGCTGGATTGCTTTCTGTTGAGAAGGCCTTGTCTATGCCTTCCTGCCTTGCTGATGGGGCTTGGACTGGATGGGCCTTTGAGGGTCTCTTTATCCCCTTTGCTCTCCTCATTGCTCCTCCCCTCCCCAAACTGGGTCTGGGGCTGTTGTTTGGACCGCTGCCATTGGGGGTGAGATGGAGAGTCGAGAACGACAAGGAGGAAGAGTCCTTGGGCTTGGGCTTAGTGCCTTCCAAGTAGCTGCTGCTTCCGTTGCTTCTGCTGGCACCCATCCCTCCACTCCAGCATGCTCCCTTCAAGTGACTGCCAGACGACTTTGTTTGTGGGGGCAGAGGTTGGGGGGGGGGGGAGGCATTTTTCATATGGCACAACTGTGGACTACAAGTGACACACTAGCATGCCGCAGCACACAGTTTGGAAAGCTCTGACATAGATACATGGAACTGCAGATAATAGCAAATCATATATTTCCAATGGGACAAACAATGGAGGCACTGAGAAGTGGATGTAGTTTGTTCAGGAAGCTCTGGTTGAATAAGTGATGAGCTCTCTGGCTGAGAATTGCAATGCCCCTCCCTAAAGAATAAATAATAGGATTATATAGGAGGGAACCAATATCATTAAAGTGGAACCAGAGCACTACAGATATGCGGTCCCTAGGCAATCGGTCTCTAGTTTTCCATTTATCCCCTTTGGAAAAAGCACTTTAAAACAAATAACTAAAAATGGTGGTGATGCCACTGAAGAAAGCCACTTATATCAGAGCACAAGCAATTGTGGATCTCAAGCCACTCATTGGATGAAAACCTAATATTGGCACCTTGGCTCTAAGCCAGTGGTATCAGAAACTAAGGCTGATGTGGTTTATCCAATGCAATTTTCTTAATCCCCACCACAAATTGAATCTAAAGTTGACCTAAAACTGGTTTGTAACCCTTTAGGTACTAATGTTGGAGAGTGGTCCCTGGTCAAGTGATCAAAACAAGGTTGGGAACCACTGCTCTAAGCTCTCTGAGAGAAGGTCCTTCTCCTCAATGTAGAAAACTTTACACTTGCAAGTGTCAAAGAGATACAATTTTTCCCTACCCAGCTCATGCTTTAAGAAAACATAGCAAAAGAACCGATTTAGAAATGCTTTTTCATTGGACCCCTGATGCATAATCTTGGATCTTTATCTGAGTTTGGTCTGAGATTTACCATCTATATAAATAAAAATGTAATGTTCATTTGTGGGATTAACATAACTCAAAAACCACTGGATGAATTGACACCAAATTTGGACACAATACACCTATTAGGCCAACGAGTTACCATCACTCATAAAAACATTGAAAAACACAGCAGAAGAGACTTAAAAAGCAAAAACCCCTCCCAAATTGCATTACAATGCATGCGCAAAACCACATATATATACACAAACAAACATATATACATATACACAAATATATACACACACATATACACACACAAAACACATATACACAGACTGGGCCACAGCAACATGTGGCAGGGGATGGCTAGTAACTTATAAACCAGGCTATTTGTACCTCATCGCACAGTTAGACATTGGCTTTGGGAGTTCAGCATATAAACATGACTGATCTGTTCACTAAAGGCAGTCACCATGGAGTTTAAGGGAGCCACTAACAAATGATGTTTCGGTGAAGCTACTATTTCCATAGGTGCTTGGTTAAATCCAGCCTTACAACTATGGTGGCTTTTAAACCCATCCTACACCTTCTGGCTAAATGCCCCAGTTCATTGGGCTGTGTCCTTAGTGTTAACAGTAACCGCATTTTTAGGGCTGACACAACCTCTTAATTTGTCACAGTGATTATTTGAGTGCTGTGGGCTGAAGTAGCAGACGAAGACAGAGGATATTGAGGATTAATTCAACCCAACTTGAAATAATCAGATAATATTTTAAAGAACCTAGAATGCAATCCCTTTCAAACTCCATTCTGGCCAGGCTTGTGGGCCAAGTTGAAAACTCCAGAAAGAGAACAATGCAGAAAATTAAGCTTATAGAACATTACATCACTCTTCTTACCCCAGAAATGATCACACGCAACTTCTTCAGGGAAAGTAGACACATCTAGGCGCCGTCTGGCTGTCCTACGTATTTTGGGAAACAGAAATTAAAAATCAAGTAATCAAAAAAATCCATTTCATCTCCAGGGCTAAGAAATTCCTTCTTCTCTGAAGGAGCAAGAAAAAAGCACTGGCAGACAAGCTGACAATGGAAAGTGTTATGTGCATTGATTTTCTCCCCTTGTTTACTTTGGGGATAGTCTTGTCATTATATTAATTACCGGACTGAAAGGCTCATTAGCTTTGGAGTCCAACAACCAATAGGAATTGGATCCTTTCTTATGTACCTGCCTGCTCAGTTCATGTCAATAGTTTTCGGCTACAGCACACAATGTGCTGAGTGCAAAACCACATAACTTTCATCATGACTAATGTTATTAAGGAGGGTGCACTTTGGCTGGCAAGCAGGGCCCCAGAACTGGCCAGACTCTAGGCACACTGGCATAGGTGAAACCAATAAATATGAATTGCCCTGCTTGGCTGAGCGCTGTATTCTTCAAATGTTTGCAAGTTTCCTTGGTTCTCTTCCATCACTGTATTTTTCTGCAAAGCCCTTTGGGAAACCTGCCGTGGGAACCCTGTATGCCTCTGTATGTGCATTAACAACTCCTTCCATCATCCCCCAACATTGTTTAGATTAGTTAAGGTTGTTTAGAAATTAAAATTAGAATTCAACAACAAATGGGGGTGGATGGGGGGGGGGGGGGGGGGGGGGGGGGAGACTGCAGTTTTTCCAGCCTGAGGCAAGATGCTATTCAAACAGTAGGTATTTTTCAATTAGCAGCTCTTTGACCCCACCTAAACTATAAACACCAGGATTCCATAGAAAGGAACCATGGCAGCTAAAAGAGGAACCAGAGTGCTATACAGTAATTGTGTAGTGGGGAAAAGCCCTACGGAACGGATTGACTAAGGCCAGGGTTCCCAAACCTTTTCAACCACAAAGCTTTTTTGAAGCAAACGTTTTTTGTGGAGCCTCACAAAATGTTTAGTGCTTAGTTCTATCCAGGGGTGGCTCAACCCATTATGCAAAGTAAGCATTTGCAGTATAGTTGATTTTGCCCAGGGGCGCTCTTGAGGCGCTCTTGGGGGAAAATAGACCTTGACATATGCAAGTTGTAGTTACTGGGAT